GAGCTAGCATATCAAACTTTGATGCAATAAGATCTATTGCACTAAGATCATGAATTCCGCCCTTCTTTGTTTGAGGTTGCCTTCTATCACCTCCATATGCATAATGCTTGGCCACTTCTTCAATCATCTTGTATGCATCGTCCACCGATAGCTTTTTGAGGCTACCACCGGCCCCGGAATCAAGGTTGGCCCTTGAAATAGGAGTAAGACCGTCATAGAAGCTTTGTACAATGATCCATGATGTGAAACCATGGTGGGGGCATTTCCTTGTGTAATCTTTGAAACGCTCCCAAGATTCACTCAATGTTTCATCAATGTCTTGATTGAAATTGGTGATCTTTCTTCTTAGTTCGGCGGTCTTTTCCGGAGGACAATACTTTCCAAGAAAGGCTCTAGTGACTTCGTCCCATGTACTCAATGATCCCTCTTCAACCGTTCTCAACCAATGTTTTGCTTTATCACGGAGGGAGAATTGAAACATGTGCATACGGATGAACTCTTCCGAAATGTTGTTTTGCTTGATAGTTGTACACAACTCAAGAAAGTTGTCCAAATGAGCAAAAGGACACTCATGAGGACTACCTCCGAATTGATCGCTTTGAATCATACGGATGAGTTGAGGTGAAAGTTCAAAGTTGTTTGCATTTGTGGTGGGAAGACGTATGCCACTCCGAAGTTGGAATGCGTTGGGGTGGTCATAGTCTCTTAACAATGGTTGAGGAGGATTCTCTCCCATGTTATCTTCTTCGTTAGTTCCAAAAACCTCTTCCGGATCGGAATCCGAATATACAATGGAAAACTCGGGTGTGCCTTGCAAGAGTCTCCTCACGTTTCTCAAAGTCCTATTTAGCTCTGGATCAACGGGAATAAGCGGTGATTGCTTACTCTTTCGTGTCATGCAAAGTCAAACAAAGCTAAGAAAAACGTTAGCAATGACTATCGCAATTTAAACACACATAAACAAAAATTAAGGTAAGAAAACTACTATACATATACACACATCTAGTCTCATTCAACAATAATACATTCAATGTGACTTTGCCTCCCCGGCAACGGCGCCAAAATTTGATAGGCCGTCGTCGAGCCTACCAAAGATAATATTTCCTATCTTGGTCTCACTAACAATAGTAAGGGTAAGAAAGGGTCGAACCCAAGAGAGGCGTTGAATCAACCACCGAGTACTACCGTTTAATAAGCTAAACGAATTCTAAATTGGGTTGGTTTTTAGTAACTTATTCTAACACAATTCAACTAAGCTAAGAGGAGGTTAACAATATTAAGAGGAATCTAGGGCTTGGGTTATACCACTCAACTTCATCACAAATCACAATTAGCATGCAACAATCAAGGTAAATTAATGGGATAAATTAGGGGAGGTCATCTAAAGCACCCAACTACTCTCTCAAGCTAGAGGGATTACTTGAATCATGAATACAACCTACTCTCGTGGTTACATAGGATAAAACAAGTGTTAAAGCATAATCACGATGACATAAACATTCCCTTGACCGGTAATCCCTATTCTCATGGCATTTCGGGTCAATTAAGCATAAGGGAGCTAACTCAAGTTCATCTCTCGATCCTTCGTTGAGAAAGCTTGGATAAATAGTTCTAGCAATGGCCATATACAAGAACTAAGCAATTAAACCACTTAAGCTCAACTAATTAACATCCCACAACAACCAAATTAGCACATGCAACAAGTAATTAGTGACTACATTGAGGGTTTTGCCCAAACCCTAGAATTTAGACTACTCACAATCCATGGGGGTTAAAGCAATTAAAGTTTTCAAGCAATTCATGAACAAATTCAAACTAAAGATTAAACTAATTAACAATCCAAAACATGCAAGAACTAGCAAATAATCAACAACAAAGTAAAGAGAAGTAGAAAAGATGAGTAAGAAATGGTTACTATGAAGCTTCAAGGTGAGCAACAATGGTGGAATTTGTCTTCTACAATGATTGAATTTGAATAATTCCAAGCTAATAATTGAGAACTAACTAATGATTTGAGAATTTAATGTTCTAAGACTACAAACTAAGAGAAAAGCTCTGAAAAACTGCCTCTCCATACAAATGAGCTCTAAAGGGGTATTTATATGACCCCCAAATAAAAAGGACGGAGAAAACAAGGAAGGAGTTCGACTGCAGGTCTGCACGGACGTGCCAGATTTGGCACGGACGTGCAAGGCTAAGCACGGCCGTGCCAAGTTTGGCACGGACGTGCAGAGGGGGCAGAAATGAGGCAGAACGTACTGCTAAGAATCGAGCAGTTCCGCACGGACGTGCATATATTGGCACGGACGTGCAGCTACATCTGCACGGACGTGCTTAATTTGGCACGTCCGTGCAGGCCTTGGCAGAATGTTCTGAGTTTCTGGAGCACTTCTGCACGGACGTGCAAAGTCTGGCACGGCCGTGCAGGCCTTGGCAGCTTGCTGAAGCTTTCTGGAACCCCTTGCACGGACGTGCAAGGTCTGGCACGGCCGTGCAGGGTCTTCTAAACCCCTTTTTTTCATCTTTTCTTCTATAATGCTCCTTTCCTTGGCTTCTTTCATCCATCTTCTTGCTTCTAACCTCGGCTTTGTATCCATGGGCTCCATTTGGTCGTTCTTTTGAACCTAAAATCTCAACAAAAACACCAACAACCCGTGAAGCATAGGATACACAAAAATTGCATAATAATAGAGTAAAAATGAACCAAAACGCAATTTATATCAAGTAAACTAGGTTCAAAACACCCTAAAATCGTATCAAATAGCAAGTTATCAGTAATCTGCATCTGTTGGGCCCACACATTTCAGCAGTGGGGCTGAGAAGGATTTTTTTAGTAGCTCCCCCTTATAGACAATGAACCTTGAGGCTACCCTTTTCATTTTTGCTGCTAAGTTCTTGTCCTCGGACAACGTTCCTTGCAGCTTATAAGCCAAGATGGGGTCCATCTAGCTATGCTCAACCTCAGCGCACTAAACCTCAATTTCTGGGTTAATGCTTCTGTTTCGGCGCACCTCCACGTATACGGACCGGTTCAGCTCCGTAAGAGTTGAACTTGCAAGTTTGGAGAGTGCATCGGCTTGAGCATTCTGACCCCTTGGGATCAGCTCAATTTCAAAAGTTCTCAGTTTTGCTATAACTAATTTGATCTTGGCAAGATAGGAGATCATCGAGGGCTCTTTGGCATTGTACTCGCCCCGAATTTGGTTAGCGACTAGTTGGGAGTCTGTCTTCAGACAGACATGTTCGGCTTCGAGAGCTATGCACAACTCTAAGCCAGCAACTGCTGCTTCATATTCTGCTTCGTTGTTAGAAGCCTTAAATGAGAATTTGAGTGCATACTCGGAGTTTCTTCCTTCGGGAGAAGTGATCACCACCCCAGCTCCCGAGCCATTTACGGTGGCCGAGCCATCCGTGAATACAGTCCAAGTCCCCTTCCCTTCGTCGAGTGTTTCCTGATAGGAACACTCGGCTAGGAAGTCTGATAGGGCTTGGGCTTTGATTGCTGCCCTCGGCTGGTAGCTTATGCTGAACTCGGTGAGCTCGAAGGCCCACTTTGTTAGTCTGCCTGATTTTTCCACCTTGCCGAGGACTCTTTCCAGCGGTTGATCTGTTAGGACCACAATCTGATGCGAATCAAAGTAAGGTCTTAACTTCCGAGCTGCCACTACCACTGCATATGCAACTTTTTCGAGCAGAGGGTAGCACGTTTCGGCATCAGTCAAAGTATGACTAACGAAGTAGATCGATTGCTGAACCTTTTCTTCTTCCTTTAGCAGCACCGCACTCACTGTAGCAGGACTAACTGCTACGTACAGGTACAAGACTTCTCCTTCGGCTGGCCTTGCCAGCGTTGGAAGATTTGCCAAGTGCTCCCGGAGCTGCTGGAAGGCTACTTTTTGCTCATCTTCCCATATGAGCTCCTTTGATTTCAGAAATTTCAGCGCCTTGAAGAAGGACAGACCCTTGTCTGAGGCTTTTGAGATGAACCTGGATAAGGCAGCCATCCTCCCCGTAAGACGCTGAATGTCCCTCTTTGTTTTCGGCTCAGGAAGATCCAGAGCTGCCTGCACTTTGGCGGGATTGGCATCGATCCCCCTCTTACTGACCATGAAACGTAGGAATTTCCTAGACCTCACGCCGAAGACACATTTCTTCGGATTCAACTTCATTCGGTGTTTTCTCAGGGTGGTGAATGTTTCTGCTAGGTCCGCAACATGGTCTTTCGCCTCTTTGCTTTTGACGATGGAATCATCGACATAGATTTCCATGTTGCGGCCCTTTTGTTCGGCAAACACTTAGTCCACCAGCCTCTGATATGTAGCCCCGACGTTCTTCAGGCCGAAGGGAATCATTTTGTAATTATACACCCCGACGCTTGTAACAAATGCCGTTTTTGCTCTGTCATCGGGGTGCATGAAAATCTGATGGTACCCAGAAAATGCGTCAATGAAGCTGAGCAGAGCGTGGCCACTTGTCGAGTCAACCAGCTGGTCAATTCTCGGCAAGGGATAGAAGTCCTGCGGACAGGCCCTATTCAGATCCGTGAAGTCAACGCACATTCTCCAAGTGCCATTAGCTTTCTGAACCATTACTACATTCGCCAGCCATTCGGGGTATTGGCAGGGCTCAATGAACCCTGCGTCCAGAAGTTTCTTGACTTCGGCTGCGATGTCTTGGTTCTTCTGAGCGGAGTAGTTCCGCTTCTTCTGCTTAACTGGCCGACATGTGGGGTCGACATTAAGCTTGTGCGAGATGAGGTTCGGATTAATTCCCGACATGTCAGCTGCTGAGAATGCGAACACATCTCTGTTGTCCCGAAGAAGTTGGATTAGTTCAACACGGAGGTTCGGATCTAACCCATGTCCGATGTTGACGCATTTTTCAGTATCCCCCTCGGTCAACTGGATTGATTCAGTTTGCTCGTCTGACTCCATTGCCTTGGAGCCAGATTCTTCAGGTTTAGGTCTGCTGTCAATCTCAGCTGACCTTCCTTTCTTCGGCTAGTTCTCGTCTGAATCTTTTGGTCCGTCCGAAGAGCTCGCCTTTTCGGTCTCCAAAGATGCTTTCTTTTTCGGGGACCCCTGAGCCGAAGCACTTAGGCCTTTCGGCCTTTTAGTGCCCCACTCCTTTTCCTTCTCCTTTTCTTCCTCATCATCCTTATCGCTTCGGCGACTCTTGGATGGCTTGAGGGAGTTACATTCCCGGGCCTCCCTTTGGCTGCCCAGTATTTTCTCGGAGCGTCCTTCGTCTGAGACATAAATCATTGACTGATGGTATGTCGAGACGACTCCTTGAACATCATGGATGAGAGGTCTCCCCATGATGACGTTGTATACTGACGGGGCGTCGACGACCAAGAATTCGGCCATGATGCTTCGTCTTGCCCAGTCCTGGCCGAGGCTGACGGGAAGAAGAATTTTCCCATCCGGATATGAAGAAGAGCCGTTGAACCCAGTGACCGGATTAGGGACTGGGGTCAAATGTCTGCTCTCCAACTTCAGCTGGTCGAATGCCTTCCGAAAAAGTATATTCGCCCCGCTGCCACCGTCTACCAGTGTCCGATAGACGTTGTGGTTTGCGATGCTTGTCACGATAACCAATGAGTCATCATGGGGGTACACCACCCCCCTGCAGTCTTCGGATGTGAACGTCATGTTTGGCACCGGAGACTGCGGCTTTTGGAACTCGGCATGATGGATCTGATGGGTTAGACCCCTCAGATGGCGCTTGAGTGCGTTCCGAGATATGCCACCGGAAATGGTCAGGATGTCATTGTGCCCTCCTTCGGGAGGTCTGTCCCTTTTCCGGTGATAGTCCAGTTCTTGCCGAGAATCTTTCTCGGCTTTCTTCTCTTCACGGCGTTCCGCGACATATTTCTTTAGATACCCTTTTTGGACCAGCTCTTCGATCTGGTCCTTCAGCTGAAGGCAGTCCTCGGTGCGATGCCCACGAGATTCGTGGAACTCACACCAATGGTCCTTCCCTTTCTTTTGATGCCAAAAAGGAGGTGGCTTCGGCTTTTTGAATCTTCCCTCCTCCCTCGTCGCACTAAAGATTTTATTACGCAGTAAGGTGAGAGGGGTGTAAGACTCAAATTTCCCCAGATAGGGAGCCTTTTCCTTCTTCGGCTCGGCGGTCAAGGGAGATTCTGAGGCTTTTGCCTTCCCTTTCCTTGACGGTGGAACTTCGGCCTGCTGCCCTTTTGGCTTCACAAGCCCTGATTGGGATTGCATCTTCGCCTTGTTCCATTCCTCGGCTCAGATAAATTTATCCGAAGCGTCGAGGGCTTCTTCCAAGGTCTGCGGGGGATGCATGACCATGAAATCTAGAAATTTGCCAGCTTGCAAGCCATTCCGTAGTGCGAATACGGCTAGGTTTTGATTCAGACTTGTTATTCTGGATAAATCGTTGCTGAAGCGAGTCAAATAATCTCGGAGACTTTTGTCCTTTGCTTGCTGCAGGCCCATGAGCTCTGCAGTATTTTTCTCTCGGCGATTAGCCGTGGAAAACTTGCTCTTGAATTTATTGGCTAGATCACTCCAGCCAGTTATTGAGCCTTCCTTCAGCCCTTTGGTGATCCATGATTGGGCCACACCTTTAAGGGTCGTTGGGAAGTATTTTCACCAGGTATCTTCGGACCAGGGGTTCAGGTACATATGCCCCTCATAGGAGGCAATGTGGTCCTTCGGATCCGAAGTACCGTCATATGTAATGTGTGCCGAAATTTTAACCGCCGGCACATGTTCCTCCAGTATCCACCTTTGGAATGGGGAACTGGTCGGAACCATTACGGTTTTTCCCTTCTGCCTCGCCGAAGGAACCCTGCTTCTCCCTTTCAGAGAGGTGGATGCAGGGGGTGTCCCCTCGCGTGACGTTGAGGGATGAGACCCTTCTGGGAAGGTGAGGCGACTATGCACCCCTCCTTCTCTGCCACCTAGGCGCTCATGAACGCTTCGGCGAGAGACATTGTGGCTGTCATGATGATCTTCAGAGTTCCGAGCTTTGGAATTTTGGAGCGGCCGGAGCCTCTCCTCTGATTCGGCCCGGAACCGCCTGGATGCCCAGCCCTTCGGCTGCCTTCCCCTTTCGAGGATGGAGCTTGGCTCTCTCCCTCGGCTCCACTTTTCCTCTTTCGATCATTTGATTTAGGAGGGGGAGAGGGTGATTTCTTTGCTGTTGGGAAGCGTCCTCCCAAAGCGTTCATAAAGTCCATGCACACAGCCATGGCCTTCATAACCTCCTCGGTTGACGGTCCGGTAGGAGGAGTTGAATGCATGCTAGGTGAAGGATCACGCTTGTGAACCTCACTATCCCTCGGCGAGTTCCCATTTTGGTAATCCCGTTGGGAAGGAGACCCTTCACGCAGATTTTCTCCTCTCGGGGAGTTGGAAGCAGTCGGCTCAGGCGACGGTGAAGGTGTTCTACCGGCCCTTACCGTTATAAGACCTGTCTTCCTAGCTTTTTTAGAGCTTTTTGCACTCTTAGTCATTTTTCGAGTTGGCTAAGATTCGTATGAGATTTTTGGCTGAATTTTTGTAAGGTTCCCCACAGACGGTGCTAAATTGTTTCGGTTAGAAAACAATGGGCCCTCAACAGGCCCTTCGGATGAATGGAGATGAAGCCCAATTCGAGTGATGACCGAATTGGGGATTTCCTGCACAGCGAAACAAACGTAAACTAGCCTCGGGGGGTGCGCCGAGGAAGGCCCCTCCGATGCCGAAGTCTGTACGGATGCGATATGATGAGAGAAAAGCTATGCGAAAGTATTTGTTGCTTGAGGCATTTCGTGTGAATAAATTTAATTGTATAAAAATGAAAGCTTTTATACCTTGTTCCCATTAGCTAGACTGGGCTTGGGCAATCAAATGGGCTGCCATTTGATTGGGCCTCGCTATACCTGACTTGGCAAATGTATTGGAGAGTTGAACCTTGCCTTTTGGGCCTCTATTATTTTCATTATGGACTGGGCCCAAATATAAGTTATTTGGACCCCAAACAATAACTATTCACAAAGTCCAAAAATTATACAGTAAAATACTCAGTCATAGCAGTCAAATGGACATTATGAATGTTATCGATGATCGAGAAGACGAGAACCATGAGGCATGAGGTAATGAAATCACAACTTTTGTTTCTAGCTACTAGTAATATACTAGTAGTTGCACATATGGTATGGTACCACTTACACTATAATTCAGTGTGTTTTCTGTGTGGTTAGCCACATTGTGTAACCGTTTGACACACATTAAAATAGTAACCGGTAACCTCTGACAGAGTAACCTTTGATTGAGTAACTCTTAACCGATCGAATAACCCCCAACCACACGGTGTGGCAAGCCACATATAAAACTTTGTGACAATAATTACCTGTTATTTTTTTATAGTTTGTCGTTATATTTCCATTATTAAATATAGAAGAAACATCACTTGTTCCCTCTAGGTTTTCTCCTTGGGAGTTTTTTTATTTTTTATTTTTTTTTGTTCCCTCTAGGGTTTCTCCTTGAAAGGGTTTTCCTAGCCTCCATTGCTAGGTTTTTTTTTTCATTTTTTTTGAAGGTTTTCCTTCTCTCTTCTCCCTTTTTTCTCCATCTCTACCATCTCTTTCCTCTTGGTCTCAATTGTGAATCTTTATAGGGGCTTTCACTGGCGTTCTTACCGGTGGTAAGCCCCTAAAAACCTTTTAATTGCTTTCAATAAATAAATCTTATCCTTGAGATGATGATTTTTCACTTGAGTTTACTTTCTTTTTATAATTGTATGGCAAAAATTGAAGATCTAAGGTTTTATAATCTCTACAAAAATCCGGAGGACCACATGAGTATTTTCACTCAAACGACTACGCATCAGTGGAATTCAAGTCGAATCAGCGCGAACTCACAGATTGTATTGCTTCAGATGAAGTTATTTATTAAGGCGATTGTTAATCAAATCTACGATGTATTTAATTTTAAGGTGTGTACTTGTGTTGAAATTCTTAATTTGTTAGGAATTATATGTAAGTGCCATTTGACTATATTTTATTAATGAAATCCCTTTTTCTTCCTATCAAAAAAAAAGTTTAAACTTCTTTAGGGAATATTATCAGTAATATCCTTATATTAGGTGAAAGTAAAGAGCGTCACTTGTGAAGTTGTGAGAGTTGTGACTAGTACGGAGTATAATGGTACATTGGTACAAATTCAATCTTATCAGCTCAAGGCACACTTTTGCATAAGTTATCCTTATTTCTTTTATTAATCCCTCGATTTCTTTTCTATTTTTAAATTTTGACTTCAATGTTTAACGTTTTAAAACTATGTTATATGGGATGATGGTAGTGCATCTATCTTGAAATGAATTTTCAAAATATCATTTTAGTAAAATTCTTAATTAAATTATATTTAATATATACATATACATGATTAAATATGTACAACTGTGAAGGTTAATAAAGTGTAACAATAGAATCGAAAAGAACCATTATTATTTGTTAAAGTTAAAGTTTGAATGTTTTGAGTTATGATATCCAAATGGAGGTAGGTTAGTGCTATTGGCATTCTAGCACTAATTGCACAATATTTTAGACTATATAATCAGAATAAGAAATTTGAGGCAGAGACTCCTCACTTCCTTAGTTTCATCAGTCAACTACTACTGAATGTGTATTTTATCACATACTTATCAGAGTAGTTATCACATCTTTATATTATAAGAGCAACTGGTTATCTTCAACTAAGCTATCACCAATTAAATAATATAAGTACTCCGTAGCAGTAAAACTATAGAGAAGACGCAAACCTATTTACTTCTAAAGACTTGGTCAAATTATAGATCTATATTGACTTTGACGGAAATTATTGAATCTATGTTTTTCTTTTCCGATGCGTATGAGCACGCGACAATATCAATTACAAATGGGGTGGAAAGATTTGATCCCGTGACAAATTGTACATAGGCCCTTAGGTTTAGCTACTAAACTAATACCTCATTGCTTCATACCTTCTAATTGTAAGGAGGGTACTTTCCCTGTGAGTAGGTGTATACTGCATAAGAATATCTTTGAATATAGATTTTCTTGAAATACATGTTCTTTGACATAAATTTTGCAAAAAAAGGAAAGCAAAATAATCGGATTTCCCGTGTTACGTTTAGTCATGGTCAACATGAAATGAAATCTGCATCACAAGATAGATAATAGCTTCTGCTTGTATAATCTTTGACTAGACAGTCCTTTATTGCGTGATAGCGTCTGTCTCTTATCCTTGTCAATTTACTAAAGTCTTAAATGCAACAAACACTTCAAAATCCCATACTACACGTTCATGAAAATTTCTACTTCCTATGGTAACCAAACGACCACTTGGTATACTGTATACTTCAGACCTTAATCCCTAGCTTATAGCTCTATGAATGAGGTGTTGAGGTGGAGTGGAATGCATTATTAGCAAGACAAACACTATTTTCCCCTCCATTCATCAGCAATTACAGCTTCCACAAGTTTAATTTCCTAGCTTCCACGATAAGTTGAGAACCCAAAAGGAGCTAACAGCAGTGGCACATGAAAATGCTCGAACTTCTGTGACTCTGTGATCTGAAACACTATAGAGACAAAAGGGAAAAACCCCGAGGGGTTGTACTTGCCTGTGTTGAAGCTAATCCTGTATGTACCAGGAGTTACTGCATCAACAATGTTCATTAACGGGTTACTTCTACCATCATTGTCTGTCTTACCAGATCCCACCAGAGTCCAGCCACTTGGATCTGATCCGGGAAACGAAGGGCGAGGCTCTGGACCCCTCCATGCCTCCAACTGTACTTCAATCCCTGCCCCAGGATGACCACCTGCCATATCGAGGACATGGGTTGTGATGGGTGGCCGGTTCCTCTTAGGAGCTTGAGATTTTTTCTCTCCGGAAGAATCAGATGAAGAGATGAGATGAGAATTGATCATGCTCAGGCGATCTTCTACATGTTCAATTATAGCACACAAATAAGCATCAAGAACTAGTACTAGTAACAGCTTTTTTTATTTTTTTGGAAGAAACTATTAACAGTTTTTTGTCTAAGCACAGAACAAGCTTGTAATACTAAAAAAAATAATAATTAAAAAAAAAAAAATCAGGACAAGAGTATTCTACACGATACGAATGATATAACATGGGCCATGCCAAGGAAAATGTAGTGCAGTTTGACACTTGCAGAAGAAAGATGGATTAGAAAATACCTGTATAGGATTAACAGGTGTTGTATTGGATGTTAGAAATTAAAGAACAATGTAGGATCAATACACAAATATTCATAGGTTGAGTAAACATATTAACTCTTGAGGAAGTAGCAACATGTACAAGAGCAGAAGATAAGTTGTCCTCGTAACTTTTTAATTTTCCGGCTGGCTTAACTCACCAAGAAGCCAAATAAATCATCCTATCCCACAACAAATCAGCACTTAAAAGTGGCTCCCTTGAAAATACAAGCATATGAGGGTAATATTGAAATTATAATTAATTAAATGGTTAGTTAAAATAATTAACCATTACTGGAAGTCATGAACCTCTAACCTGCAAAGCTGGGCAGCTTTTAGAGCAGATTAGGTTCAGGTTTTTTCTTCAAGCCACTTGGTCTTAAATGCTCAAAGCAGCTCAAAATTTAGCTTGACACGGTCATTCTCCTTTATCTCAAATCTTTTGGTACTTAGATTCTTTCCTTTAATTAATCTTAGCTGTGTCAAGATGTGTTGCTGTATTTGTTTGAAGGCACCTCAAAGACTTCTGCCACATGGGTTTAAGCCTACCATTTAAAACAGCTACAAACTGATTACTGAAACATTTCTAATAACACATTACCATTAGCTTTTGCAGTGACAGACGCAGGTTGAAATTCAGTGGCTGCATCAGTGCTTGACTTTGCCGAGAAGAGTTTGGCAAGACGCAGTTCTGTAATTTTCATCTGTTCCTGAGCTGCTATTTCAAGCTCCACTACAGGCCTGTTTGAGTAGCGTCTCTGCAATAAGTAAACAAGAGTCATCAACATCAAATTAATGACTTACATTTGCTACTATAAGAGAAGGAAGAATGCTGCCACAAGTAGTCTTTAACTAGCTTAACATTTCTTCAGAAACTTTGCCCCATTTTCAGAGTAACCAATGCTTTGTTTTGAGATGAATACTACATTTCTTGTACTTCATGTAGACACAACTTCCAGAAAAATAAATGCTCGCTAAAACATCAGCCATATCCCTGTCGGACACTTATCTCTCTAACAAGGATATGAATTCTTAGCCAACAGTTTGGATTTCACTCAGACACCACAATTAGCTTGATCCACATTGTAGAGAAAAACTTGAATTCACCCTCATCAGCTATTTTCTCTTGTCTACCATAATCTTTGATTATTCATTCTTTAGGAAATTTGAGACAAAAGTTTGACTGGAACCGGCAAACAAGTAAATCTAGAATGTATATCTGTATTTATAATGTGAAAAGATATGCAAAAGTCTTTATAATAAGGACTATATTTACGCCATGTCCCAGCACATGTTTCCAATTCTAAGATAAGGTCCCAGTGTTTAATGCATGATCACATGGTGCACCTGGTTAAATAAAAAAAAGGCGGAAAGAACATTTAGCTGTTTGAAAAAGAACATGCAGGTTTTTGAAAAAGAACATGTTTGTGTTTAACAAAGAACATGCATTATTAAAGAACATAAAGACATTACAAAAAGAACGTGATAAAAACTTTATTAAAATTTTATGAAAAATTACATATTAACAGAAAAAATCTTTACCAACGATATCATTTCCCCAAAAATTGTTTTTTCTCTCTCCAAAAATTAACTTTCCATAATAATTTTAGTTTTCTCTCTCTAAAATATTTTCAACTAAGAAAAAACCAAGATTTCATTTTCAAATTAAATTTCAAAATTCAAAATAACATATGTTAAAAGAGCATAAAATATAATGTAAAGAACATATAATTCATACCCGAAGAACACACTGATCAAACTCAAAGAACATACGATAATAAAAAATAATGATATATGATAATTCAAAAAAGAATTTGTGCGTCACTCGTTACCTCAAAGAAAATACGAGCCAAATTCAAAGAACATACTTTGTATTATTGAAACCCAAAAATGTTTTAAAAATGTTTTTAAAATGGAAAATGTCCATTAAGGATAATAATTTAAAACTGAAAGCAGTTTAAAGGGAATAATTCCCTATAATTTCGCCCAGATTTTTTTTTTATTTTCCACTAATTTAATGCTAATTAGTTATGCCACATCACATGCACCTGGTGTATTATACAATTTTCACCCAGTGTTCGAGGTTTAGAACCTCAAATTGTCTTAACACTTACAATTGGATATGAACCTGGACCGGTCTCTTGTACGGCCGTACCCATGTCCAAGTAGTATAGTGTTCAGTCATTAATCCAAGTATCATTCAGTATCATAATCTTCAAGTATTTCAAAATGAAATTTCTTCTGAGTTCCAGCCAGTTAAATTATGGCTTGCTCTTAGCAAGTACTCCGAATTGAACAATGATAATCTCAACTCTAAAAAAATTATCATACAACATATTTATAGCCTAGGTATATGATACTAGCAAACCTCACTTCAAGAACAAGAAACTTTCATAATTATATAGCAGTTTTATCAAGCAACCCCTCCCCAAACCCCGCAAAGGTGTAGCTGTTCCTCTATCTTTTTAAAGTATTCAAAGGCGTGCAGATCTGCAGAAAGCTTTAAGCAATGTGCCATTGCTATGCAAAAATATAAAGCAAGATGTGGACTTAGTCAAATGCCTAAAAGAATCAAGCAGCAACACAACATAATCTTCCCTAACAATAGAATAACATGACTAAGTCAGATATGCCTCCAAATTCAGAATAGATGATCCGATGAGATTTAGGAAGTTGCTGTAGATCCAAAATCTAGTTAATATTAAACATTCGATTTTATGAAACTAACTGTAGAAAAGCTTCCTCAAACTAATAAATAAACCTCACCTTCAATTCAGCTAAAATTTCTGCTGTACTTCTCCCGGATGCACAAATAAGAAAGACAAATCCAAACTTTTGCTTATATCGGGCATTCCACTCAGTCAGTTCCTGCACAACACAAGTATGGAAACTACGAGTAAACCCATGCTTCACTCATGTAGTCTATGTGTTTGACATGTTTACAGCTTCAGTAAAGATAAGGACCATAATTAGGAACAATTAGTAGAAATTGGACTGAATGGTCATAGATATGTAGTACAAATGACCGATTATATAGTCAATTTTCATGTTAAACTGCCCTACTAAATCCCAGTATGCAAGTGTATCATAAGCTAAGATCACTATGTTTTGTCAACTTTAACTCAAAAAACTATCGATAATATACAAATCAATACATAAGAACCTGTAATGTAGTGGAAGTAGCTGATTTCATAGCAGTTGACTGCTCTCCCTTGCTCCACCTACAGAGCAAGATTTTCAAAGTAAAATTATTAGTGGAAGTATAATGCATTAAATAAAACAAAATGGAAAAGAAAGCATAAAACCCAAGAGATCATGCCAAATTGATCTTGTAATCATGCCAACCATTCATAATCTTGCTCAATGTATTAGGTTATAAGCAGCATAAACCCCATCAAACCTTTCACTTTGAAGGCTTATCTCAAACAAACAAGTACACAACGACTAAGTAATGTACGATTTTGGTTTCAAAAAAAAAAAAAAAAAGTTATGTATGATTTAGTCTGCAATCAAACCCTTCAGGATCAAAAACTAACTAATGAATGATTTGATCCCGCAATCCACATGAAAAACTTCCTGCTCATCTACTAGATAAGCATTCCAAAGACATAGCATAAAGATTATGTTTTTAAATAAATTGAAATTAATCAATTTTTCTGAAGAATAGTAGAAATACAACTATATACACCATATAATCAATCCTTTCTATTAATATTTCAATTTCATCACAAAATTGCCACTTGATTCACATAAAAAGTTAATCCTCATCCCTATAACCCTGATTAATCCTAATTAACAGGTTTACTAATCAAACAAAATATCAATTACACAATCATATTCATCTAAAAATAAACAAATCAGCAAGAACCCAGAAAAAAGCTAATCTCAATAATCAAAGAGAGAAAAAAAGACTCAACTGGGCAAAAGTCTCACCAACATGTGATAAAGAAGGAGATTGGCCAATCTGAGGATGAGCTGAGAAAGCTTCAAGCCACCCATAAACATCAACCTGCAAAATATTTATAATTAACAAAAAAAATCAAGCAAAAATGGTTGAAATAAGAAGAAACTGGGAAAATTGAGACCTGGTTGAACCAGATGTTCGTAGCAGATTCAATAGTTTGATGAAGATTGGAAAAAGGGGATAAAGCCGCCATTTGTTTGGCAAACTTAGTGCTGCCACAACATGCCAGTAGTTCATCTTCATTGACTACCCATTTTGCTGATGACTCCATTTTTGTTCCACTAATTCTCTCACTCTCTCTTACTTCTTTTATTAGTTCATCTTCTTTTATTGGTTTCCTTAAAAATTGCTTAAATCTAAATTAATTCCCTATTTCTATTAAAAAAATAATAATTTTCTACATGCGTCGGCTTAAAAACTTAAGCCCACCATATTTTCATTTAAGCAATTTTTAAGGAAATCGATTGTGAAATTTGTTTATCACAAAGATTAATTGGCAGCTTCATTTATTTTTATTTCCATACGTGTTTGAACAATTATATCTCTAAAATATTTATTTACTTATTTTCCCTCATTAATGTTAATTATTTTTTTACTCTTAAAAATAATGTGCACACATTTATACCGTAAAACATTTCCTTAAGTAATTTTCCTCATTAATTTTAACAACAATTAAAATTTTGACATAAGGTTAAATCAAAACAACTATCCGATACGACTAGCTATAGCGCTTGTTAGCCACCCTAGTCAATTGATAAACATGTCAATTGTGAAACATAGACACATAGTAATAGGGGTGTAGAAGTCTTTTCACTAGATAAGTTGGGGACATAATTGAAATGGTTAAACATTGAGTTGAGGCCTTGATTGTAACCTCAACTTTCCCTCTCTAACTCAACACCTCAACGGCCACTCCAACAACGCTGCACCCACCGCCCACGACGCCAGGCTGCAGTCCGCCTCCGCCGGTCACAGGCTCACAGCAGTGCTACAGCGTGAGTCCTTGAACCTAGTCCTGCCCAAAAGTTCAAATTTTTTTTAATTAAAAATTCATAATTGCTAATTTGATATATAATTCAATATTTGATTGTGGAGTTAATTGATAGGTTTTAATTTATTTGTGTATATTGGGATTTTTGTTTTGTGTGTAATACTGTTTTTTTTTTGGAATTAGGACTTATAAGAATGTTAGATTATTTAGAGATCTTAATTGGATGCTTGATTGATTTTTTGTGTATTATGAGTATTAATTTACTGTATTTAAAATTACAATAGAATGTTAAAATAATAATAAATCAATAATCATATGCCATTGTAATCCATTTGTAAGTGTTACAATGTTAAACTAGAATTTTTCATTAATCTAAGTGTAATCTATCCGTAATCCGAAATTTGAACTTGTGTATTGAATCTTAAAGTAAACTTGTGCGACCTTGTAAGTTTTTGCTGCATTTAATTGTGATAGGACTGTAGGCAGTGGCGGACTCACGTGTAGTCATAGTGTGTCCCAAAACAACCTATTATTTTATATTTAAAAAAAAAAAATCGATAAACGGTTTAATAGAATATTTGTGTAATAAATGTCAAGAAGTTCAACCTGTAGCCCAGCGGTATGTGGGTTCAAATTCCATTACTCACAATTTTTTTCCTTTTTTTTGCTTTATAACCTCATCTCGAATTTTTGACATTTAGAAAATTAGAAGTTAGAACTCTCTCATAACATCCTAACTCCCCTAAATCGGAATCCCCAGCCGCCGCCGCCGTTCACCGCCGCGGATTTTAGCTCCGTCCGTGGCTCCGTGTTGTCGCCGATTAGGTGTTTAGGTATAAGGTCCGTCCGTCAGTCCGGGGCTCATACTTTGTGGAAATTCGCGGTTTTTTGAGGTTTGTTTTAATTTATATAATTACATTGCAATAAGATTATAGATTCTATATCAGTGCTTTGATGTATGTTGCAGTTTAAATGTTTAATTATGTATGACAGTATGACTGTATGAGTTGTTTTTTTTTTTTGGTGAAATTTCGTGATTTTATATTGTGGGTGTTTTAGGAGAGCTGATAAATATGATAATTTGATTGTTTTCTGTATTAAATTTACTGGGCTCTGAGTTAGCCGATTTAGAGCTTGAATGTTGTGATTTGTGAATGTGAGTTGTGGCCGGATATTTGACTATTTGAGCCCTATTATAGATTTATAGTATTATTTCTGTTTAATTGATAATAGTTGTCCAACCTAAGCGGTATCTAGCAGGTTAGTGCTTGACCTCCATAGGCATTGTTCCACTAGTATCCTTTTTGTATTTTAATCTGGAACCATAATGATGATAAAGATAAGGACTTTAGAGTTTAAAGATAATTAAGGGGTAGGATAAAGATAAGGACTTTAGAGTTTAAAGATAATTAAGGGGTAGGATAAAGATAAGGACTTTAGAGTTTAAAGTACCAAAAGCAAAATTTGTTATATTTTAAATGTATGATGCCTTTATTGATTATTTATAGGTAGTTGTTAGATCTATGATTTGTATAATCAAATTAACCTTCTTATTAGCTATTGAGAATGGTGATTATGTTGTTCTAGGTTTGAAATTTAGTGGGGAATTGCTAATTTGGAGATTTGGGGATGAAGGGTGGACTAAAATTGAGGTCAATGGGCTTTCTTTTGATGATACTATTAGTTTTAATAACCTTGAGAGAACCCTTCTTGTATGATTTATCTAATTCAACCTTTAACTTCAATTTCAGAATGAAAAGTAAAACAACTCGAGGTATTTCAAGTTTTTTTACTGAAAAAGTGTCTACTCTAAATCCTCCTCCTCCACAAAATGATGATGATGGGACAACCTATTAATCAAATCCTGGATCCGCCACTGACTGTAGGAGACTAATTTCTGGAAGGAAATTATGTTGTTTAATAAAACAATAAGTGCATTATGTTGTTCCATTCAATTCTTGTTCAGACCTGAATTTTTGTTATAATTTCCTGTTGTATTAATCTGCTATATAATTTTATGATACTGATAGGTTTTAAAGTTCAAAGAGTTGGTTTTGTATGTGAGGATGGTCAATAGTAATTGGGATATCATCCATATCCCGGCAAAGTCACCTTTCTTACCCACCCAACAATCTACAGGTTTGCTTCCCTCTCTCTTGCTTGCTCATACTTCCCCCTCCTGGTACATTGTGGAAAGTGCAATTTCGTATTTTATTGCGTATTCTATTAATCTTTTACGCTCCCTCCATTTTTTGTTCTTCCCTATTTCCTTTTGAATAATTTTTGATGTTGCATCTTCTGCTTTTACCCTCAGTAATATCTGACAATGTCACCCCAATGACACTACCGTTAAGCCTTCTTCATTGATATTGTTGGAAATCAAAGAGTAACAACCCAAAATATGGAAGGAGTAATTATGGTCAAGAGTCCTAGGCTTTGTAGTTATATACCAGTTCTCTTTGAGTTATGTGAACTTAGATGTCTCATAGTTTACGGGATTTATCCTTATTTCGTTTTTAGTTGTTGCTCATCCTGCAGTTTCTTTTCTTTCTTTATAGTTTATTAATTGTTCATTTTTTGTACTATTTTGTTACGCAGTTGACGTCTTTGCATCAGTGATAGATCCAAAACTTGCCAACACTTTAGTCAGGTATATTATGATTCTTCGTCTTTGTTATTATTGTAACAATGAGAATTTTTATCCAATCTTAGGTGTGGACACCTTAAATTTTCATAATTTATAGTTGTTTCTCCCTGTGACTTGTACAGTTCTATCTCAAAATCAATCTGAGTGAATTTCCATTCCAATAAATTTCTTCTCAAATTCCATGCTACTATTTCAATGTGTAGGAAATTGAATAAAATTGCCCCATTGGAGAATCTTCGACATGTGAAACGAGTGCGTAAGAGTTGTTCCGATGGTAGGTGTTCTTGTTATTTTCCACTCTTGTTTGCTTAGTTGCTTCTTACATTTGGTTGTTCCTTTCTTCAAACCAGAGTTCTAAAAATCTTTGACAAGGTTTCCCATTATTTTGTGGACTGTATTATAAGTATATAATCACTTGGCTCTTGAAATATAGGAACTGTGAGAAAAAAAAAATACTATTTCACTGATAATCATATGATGGAAGGGGATATTAGCATAACAATCTAGCTGTTATCATACCAACTGTAGCTCATTCCTAAGTTCTGGGTTATCTTCAAATTTCTGTGGTGAGACTTCATCCGTAGGATGAACAAAATATTTAATATGAATCATAAATTTATGCTCTCTTGTTATGTGTCTGCTAAAAGATGCACTCATAGGTTAACCTAATGATTTGAACTTAGTGGAAAATTAACTCATACTTTGCCTTCTTGGTGATGTTGACTTTTGTGGAAGCATTATGGCTGAAAGATCTATTGTGTAGAGAGAAAGGAAAAAGAAAGAAAATAGCCTCCATCATAAGCACTGATTGGGCTGGGTTGGGTTGGGCTAGGTCGGGTGTGAAGCATCAATACAAAGGGGGAGGCGAGGTACTTTAGTTGGAGGAATTATAATCAACTTGTTAGTAGCTTGAAGAATAAGATAGGTAGTTTGTTAAAGGAAAAGCTGTCTAATTCTCTTTATAGAGCATATTAAATAGAGAAGATTGTGTGTTTCAAAAAAAAAAAAAAAAAAAAAAGAGAGAGAGAAGATTGTGTTGAATATTATGCAGAGTTTTAGTTAGCTTATAGAGCTAATTGGGAGAATATTAAGCTTCTCAGATGCTTTAATAGTTTAATATCCTTTATGTTTTTTGATCTCCAGCAGTCCAGCTTGTAAATCATATTGATCTTTCTTATTTTCTGCTATCAATGGTGTTTAAGCTAAGTTGATTCTTAGCAGTTAGCAACGGGGTTAGGGTTAGCAATAGATCGGAATCAGTTCTTTTTACATTATTCACTTAAGTACTAGTGTAGTCATAATATATACTCTTAAGCACTGTTTGAATAAAGAACCCAATCTCCTACAATTGCCATTATCTAGGCATTATGCTTATTTGGTCTTTTTTATGCTACCTCTTCTTGCTTTTGACAGGGCAAACTCAATTGTCCGTGATTATATGTCTAACTGGTGAGGATGGCACCGAGCTGGGTTGCATGCCCATGGACTTGCGAGAGCTGACCAATTGTTACCAGTTGAGTCCCTTTGTTACTCAAGTGGGTAATAATGTTTTCACTCCATTTCTCCATAGTAGTTAGTTTGAAGAATAAGCTTATTAATTATTAACAAAATTACTGGTTACTTTGGTGGTATATCTTTGGTGACGATCTTAGAAGAAGAATGGTTTGTTAACATCAATTTAGCCGAAGTAGGAGAAGAAATTTGAAAAAATAATAAAAATTGTCAGAAACTATGCATCAAGCCAGCTTATTATATCTATTAGTCAATGGTACATATTGCTTCAGCCAATCTAGGAGGATGCCCTCTTATTTCCTGTCCTTATCTTGGTCATTAATTCCACGTGGTTAGCTTATTTATCAAATTATCAGGGATGTTGAGTTTTTTTTTTTTTTTTTTAAATCAAAATAAATTTCTCTAAAGCTTTGCTATGACTTTATTAATTGCTTAAGTGTTACACATGAAAGTTATGATAGTTAAAGAAAACTTTAAGGAGTCCATGGCAATTGGCCCTTCATCAGCTTTTTTTTTTCAGGCTTTTGACTTTTTCTTGCGGTCAATTATTTATTCTACCTGAAAAAGCCCTAATAAAAAAATATTGGAGCAAATTTTTCTCGTTGGCTTTTGGTATTTGCCTAAAAGTTGATTAATTTGCACATAAATAGCTAAGAGTATAACACTAATTAATTTCACCAAGCATCTTCATTATTGCCCCCTGTGTCCCTCATTAAAGACCCCAAATCTCTTGGGCACAGGTTTTTAGGTGAGGAATTTTAGTGCAGCATTGTTTAAGAAAAAGAAGGTAGTGAGATCAGTTTACTGTTTTAAAGGGAATTGAGAGGAAATATAATGGGGTTAGAGGGGTTTTGTTGATTAAAAGTGAATTGACTTAGAAGTTAATGGATGATGGACTCTTCGCTAAATGAGAAATGGACTAGTTAATGGGACGAGACTTTTAGGAGGAATGGGGTCTTCATTAAGGAACAGATGGAGTAGAGAATACAAACAACCAACAATACCAGCTGGTCAGCCAAACCAATTGAATCAACCATTAGTTGATTACCTAACATATATGTTCTGAGAATGCAGATTATTTTGGGTTACTGGTTACTCTGTGTCATCCTACAACACTTAGATATTCTCCGTCCTAGCTGTCTAGTTCACATCTACCTCGTTAAAGGTGCTAACTTTGTCATCGATTATGAAGCATTGTGGTTTCTGAACTTGATACAACATATATACTCTAGGTGCAGTGCAAAAAGCTGCATTAAGGCCGTTGTTCCCTCCTCCTATCTGGTTATCCTTTTGTTGGGCTGCTGGGGGAGTGGGTGTAGGGGTGGTGACCTTGGGAGTGTGCATGCAAGCATTGAAATTTTCTTTGCTCTGGTATTGCTACCATGTCGCAATCCAAGTTGGGAGAGTGTTGCAGTTTCATTTATTTTTCTTTAATTTGTAGGTTTGCAAATATGCTGCGACAACTAAAGAAGAGTGGGAAGAACAATGCAAATTATGGCCTACATCATTTCATCCTCCAACATAGTAAGATGCTAGATTCTACAAGCTAACTCCTTATCGAGTGCTGATCTTTTTGCATAAGCTTGTACTTTAAAAGTTTAATTTCTGTTATCCAGTCCCTTTGCAATTCACTTGCTTTTGTCATCCACATTACAGCAACATCGAGGGCATCACTGGATTTACTGAAGAAAACACAACTAGAATATTTAACTACATGAATTTTGCACTTAAGTTGGCAAAATCTGCTGGCAATCAGGTATGGTTACTTCCCTGATAAATCAACTTAGCTCTTATTTCTGAAGAACGTAGGTTTTAGTGGCTGAAACTTCAGCACTCTTAATTGAAATTTGTTAACCTTTCTTACATAAACCTAGGCATATTGACGTATGCCAATTTGTTGTTTGCATTTTCTTGAGTTAGTACTTAAAAATCAGAATAATATTCTCACGTCAACATTACCTGTCCAATCAGCAACTTCTAGCTTTTAGGTGACTAGCTCAGTTTTGTCATCCTTTTCTCAGATTGATACCCTTCTGTGTGAAAAACCATCTTACAATATACTTTAGCAGTGAAGTGCTATGTAGTAAGAAAACATATGCATACTTTATCCCTCCTAGTTTCAATTTCTACAGTTTCAACTAAATAAATGGATTCAGATTAATATTAAATGATTATTAGATGTTAGCTCAAGAAATTGTTAGGTTATTATGATGGTGCAATCTTGTGGTGGGGTGGTAGGAAGGTAGAATATATCATTATATCTCCAAAGGTTGGCTTGTTTGTGTCAGAAGGCTGCAGATGCTGTATATGTTGTTTTGTAACTATGAACCATTATTTTTGTACAATGCAGTTTGTTAATTCTGCGGTTATTGTGGATCCATTCTCAAATCAAGTAATTACTAGTGCTTGTGATGAAATCTCTTCATGGAACATGCGTCTTGATGGCCATGAAGCACACTCCCTAGATGTGGTTGAAGCCTCAACATCTCATACTTACGCTAATGGATCATCATCATTGAATGGGTCTTTTAATGTTTCCAAAACATCATGCAGCAGCATTTCTTGTTTGAACCCATGGCATTGGACACAGCAAAATCTGTCGTCATCAAGGTCTTGCTTTTGGCACCCTCTGCGACATGCTTCTATGGTAGCCATTGAATATTCTGCAGCAAGGGATAGACGTTTGTTCCCAACTATAGGAGAAGCTAATGAGGAATCTGTTCAGTTGAGTCCTAATGTGACTTTGGCTGTAGGATTGCCAGTCAAGCGACAGAAGACTAATTTAGCAAATGTGAGTTATTATTTTTGTTTTTACTATCGAGTTAATGTCAAACAATATTTTTCTGCGCAGTGCTCAGTGGACTTGCCTGACATGAACTTGATTGCATGTTATGTGATTGTTGTATTTATGAATCAGTTATGAGAGAATTGCTCAGTCTTTCTTTAATCTGAAACATTCTGTATAGGTGAAGAGTAGTGTTGATGTTCCAGCTGATGGTTTTCTTTCCAAATCAGAAAGACCTTACCTGTGTACAGGTTATGATATATATCTTGCTTGGGAGCCATGTGCAATGTAAGTCCTACAAAACTATCTTCTCAAATAACCTTTTTTGAGAATTGAGAAGAGAAATCCACAAGAACTTTTGATTTGATGTGTGATATGTTTAAGTCTGGCAAGTTTTTATAATTATTAAATGATTTTGTCGCATTGCACTTGTTGATGCATCTGTTTTGATCTTGAAAATGTATTTATTGATCCTGTTATATAAGCCTATGTGAGGAAAGATTTTCAAAGCATAACTTCCTTGATTGAATAACATGTTGGCAGAAAAGAAATGAGGTAGGGAATTAGGATTTAGGAAAAAGGTACATGCATATTTAGTTATGAGCTTATGACATGGACTGACCATTGAATTTCAGGTGTGCCATGGCTCTTGTTCATCAAAGAATAAGGCGTATATTCTATGCTTTTCCAAATCCAAATGCGGGTGCTTTGGGCACTGTATACAGACTACAGGGTGAGAAAAGTTTGAATCATCACTATGCAGTTTTCCGAGTTATACTGCATGATGAAGATCTGCCAGTTTTGGAGAATCAACAACAGTAGAGAAAGATGCTGAGAAAAAAGGAAATGCCTGCATGTCATCCAGCTTAACGTCCTTAGGTATGCTACATTCAATGCCATCATCTAACAGCTCTGTCCCATAGGGATGAGGAAAATGGTGATCGTATCATTTACTATATAATACTTTTGCTTGGTTATCAACTTAACATTTAAGAAATTGTTATATTTTAGAATTTTCAGGAACTGACCAGATATTCCTGAGTGTAAAAAGAAATTGTGTACACGCCTTGATAGATAAATTTATTGTGATTTTTTTACTGGATTTTAGAATTGGCTCTTAGTAATTTGATTTGTGTCTATTTGTGTCAGCTCCCTCACTTGGGACGGTTTGAGTTTAATCTATACAGAGATTATATTGGGGAGAAACTAGATAAAAGTGAATTGGTACATATTTGTCACATATTATTTGATAATTTGTTCCAGATCTAGAGTTTTATTTTTATTTTTATCAAAATACCACCATTTCTAAGATCTTTATATGATTATCGTTTTAATACTTATTTTTCAGCCATTATAAAAAATGGTAGAAATGGTGGTAGTTGTCAAGATTAGGCAACAAAATTTTAATTGTGACCCACTATTCCCCCCCCCCCCCCCCCCTTAAGGAGAGGTAGCATGATATTACTATTACCAAAATGTTCAAAACCTGATTTCATTACCAAATCCGAAAATAAAACAGTACTTAAACATGTTGTAGCCTAAACATCAGTCTCAAATAAACGCTACAACTCCTTGCTTTATTTTCTGCGGAACTTAAATGAAAGAAGCTCATATCTTTTTGACTCTAGCTAAGCAGGCATCTTTTGGTCTTCTATGAGGCAAGAACTGCACCGGGCACTCGGGATTGGTCCTCTCCAACCTGTATCACAATTTTTGCCACAAAATTTTAAGTCAAGTGCATGATTCCAGGTTAAAAAAAACTTCAAAACTATTTTAACTTACCTATAACCAAGGAGAAAATGGTGGAGAAAAATTGAAATTTCGAGTTTGGCAAGATCGTTTCCAGGACACAGTCTGCTCCCAGCACCAAAGGGAAGGAAAGTCCCTGCTTTTGAAGCAAGGTTCTACAACATACACGTAGTATTTAGTTTTTGTATGATAAGTCTTTTTTATGAGAGGAGATTTAATTTAAACTTACATCCCATCTATGAGGGATTGAACTTCATAGGCTCGGGCCAAACTTCGGGATTTAAATGGCAAGTCCTAAACCATATCAACACTTTCCATCCTTTAGGGATAGTATAACCTGTAAAACTTTCTTTTGTAAGCTTAATTTTCTTTTTTACTATGTACAAGAAAAATGTCTTTTGAATATGTTACTAACCATTTATCATGCAGTCTGATATCGCCTCACGAAAGACGACGAAAGTGAATGTCACCCACCTTAGTGTTTCATCTACAACCTTAATTTCATAGAAGAAATGGTTAGTTCAGCGAAGAATGCAAACTCGAAGATAAGGTGGGATGTGAGGAGAAAGTCAGTACTTATTAGTACATTTTTTTATTTTTGACAAGAGTACTTAGTACTTTACCTGAGACAAATAAGGCATTTTTCTGGTTTCTTTCAGAGTCAGTCCTTTCTGTCCTGCTGGTCTGTTCTTTATAATCTTTTCTTGCTCTGCCTGAAATCCGACGATTTGGTAAAGCATAGAATTGTGAGTGTTATTTAAGCAGTTAAGAATAGACGTGACAAAACTGACTTATATTCGATTTAATCATAGGATGAAGTGTTGTGTACTCCTTTTCTAAAGCCTCCAAGATAGACTCACTCTCTGAACTCAGAAAGATGAACATGATGATACGAAAAGTTAACTTTCGAAGTTGATTGAGAAACTCGATTTCTCCCATTTTGCTCAACTTATCCAAAGTAGTTTTCGAGATTTCTTCAATGTACTCTATGTAGTTTGATAGTGCTTCATGTCCATTGATAGGAGCAGCAGTTAATTTCCTAAGACGCTTGTGATCTTTGGAAGGGATAGTAATGAAGGAATTCCTACCGCTCAACTCCTCCGTTGACAACGGCCAGCCAGGCTTGAAATGTTCATCATCATTCAAGACTTTTCTGCATGTATCAGGTGTAGTCACAATTATGCTTGGACTCCCAAACATGAAGGCTTTGTAAATTCCTGTTTTGCCAAATCTGCACAACCAAACATCTTATTAATTGTTAAATGTACAAGTAAAATAAAATAAAATAAAATGTTCCTAAAATATCAACTTAACCACTAAATGAGCAAATTTCAATCGTGAGGGAAGACTCCCTTAACCTTGGTGTATTTCTCTTTGAAAAATAAAAATAAAAAAATAAAATCAGCAAATTCGAATAATTCCTTTTGCATCAATAGAGTTAGACTTGACAACCCTGACCCAACACGTGACCCGAAAATTGATCCAAAACCCGAAATATACCTGACCCCGATCGGAGTTGACCCTATACCTGAAATAACCCGACTCGATTGTGCCCAACCCGAAGTTGACCCGATATGATTTTAACCCGAATTGCTTGACCTGAACAGACCCGATATACGAAATGTTCCGAACTAAACTTACCAAATACCCGAGAACTAAAAATGTTTGGTGCCATAAATGACTAAAATCCCCAATTATAACTGAACTCACAAACCAAATAAAATTATCGATTTGAGCTTAATCCATAATAACGACACAAAATGAATGACCCAATTTTGCCCACTCAACCCGAAATGGACCCAACCCGAACTTGGCCGAAATCTGAATTGACTCGACCCGACTCAACGCAAGCACAACCCGAATGTTACCTGACCCGAAATTAACTTGACCCTTATCCAACCCAAATATCCCGTTTGTTAGGTCTAAATAGAGTCGCCAATGGCCAGTCTAGGTTGTTGTGAGCCCATAAAAACGAATGTCAATGTCATAAGTGGGCCACTGGGCCGGTCCACCCACCTTCTTCACCATGCTTGAGGCCAACCTTGATTGGCTTATTAAACAGGCTGCCGGGGATTGGGAAAAACTAACCCACTGTCTACCTCTTATATAAACCTTTTTTTTTTTTTTTTTGAACAGTCAATTTATTTTATATATCCATCATGAACGTGAACTTGATATACAATTTTAATTTGCAAAGACTGATATTAACAAACAAACAAAAAAAAAAGAAAAAAGACGACGAGCTAAACATTGATTATTAACTTTTTTTTTTTTTTTTTTTTTGAAACTGTCACTAATTTTTGTTGAGTAAATAGGTTGTCTTCTAAAATTAAATGTACCATGTGCATTAACACAAATACAGTACAATTTTACAATTTTTCTTTATTAACACAAAATTATAGAGAGTTGTAAATAAGCATACACCAACAAGAAAATCTGGCCTAGTTTGATATGAAATTTTTTCTCTAATATGGGCATGATTAATTTCAATCAAATACGAATAAGTAATAAATCGCTTAAATAAGTATAGTGACAAGAGAATAGATAAAAGAATAACCTGGCAAGAAAGGAGTTGACAAAGGAGTCTGGATTGGAGGACTTGAAAGCTGCCAGGAAAGACCACATGTTGCCTATAAAAGGCAAGCCAAAGTCACCCGGTGGCAAACTATACCTCTTATCCCCAAGTTTTGATTCATGCACCCAACCATGAACTTTTCTTAGAGCATCATTATTGGTGAACACAAAAAAATGGTTCATGGGTCACTATCACCATTTCTCTCTCATCCACATCAACCCAACAAACCATTTACAATATTCACTCTTAACAATGAACACTAAACAATGGTTCATCATCAATACTCCCTACCCCACCTTATTTTATTTTTGTAAATATAATCTTTTTTGTTTCATAATTATAATTTATTAACCCGATGTCAATGTAATTAATTGACGTATTTAATATTTTAATCGTGATTACTAATTAAGAAATTATCGCATTTTTTTATCAGCTTTTTAAAAAACTAATTCTTGTGATTAATATTTTTTAAACAACAACGCAGCTAATTTTAATTAACAAAAAAAAAAGAGGTACAAATCGTGATTACAGTTCTACAACTATAATCTAGTACATTTTATTTAAAAAAAAAAAAAACAACTACACATCGTTTTGTAAGATGTCCTTAGGGATAACCATTTGTTGTAAACCTAGTTGCCTAAGTTTTCGTTGTTACCAAATTTATTCCATATATGTTCGACCAAGTCGTTTTTTAGCTGCAAATGAGTCTGTTGATCCTCAATCTCTGTTCTACGAGACAAGTATAAGCCGATATCCACAATACGATCAGTACGGTACTCGGTAGTGTCCTCATTAGCGTTGCCTCCAGCATTCATAAACTCATTGGTATTAACGTTATTTTGATACGTCTCTCGTTCATCTTCAACGATCATATTATGTATTATGATGCAGGCGAGCATGATATTGTGGAGTATGTCGGTATCCCACGCCAAAGACGGCTTTTTAATAATGGCAAAACGAGCTTGAAGGACCCCAAATGCGCGTTCAACGTCTTTCCTTGCAGCTTCCTGGTGTTTTGCGAATAAACGATCCTGACGAGTTTGTGGACTCGTAATGGATTTCACAAAAGAAGCCCATCTAGGGTAGATTCCATCAGTAAGATAATACCCATTCATATAATGATGACCATTGACTACGAAGTTCACAGGAGGTGTTCGACCCTCTAAGACGTCTTCGAACACAGGGGATCGATGAAGCACATTAATATCGTTGCAGCTACCTGGCATCCCAAAGAACGAATGCCATATCCATAGATCTCTGTCCGCAACTGCCTCCAGTACGAGAGTTGCAACTCCTTCTCTTCCTTGATACTGCCCCTTCCATGCGTGTGGACAGTTCTTCCACTCCCAGTGCATACAATCAATGCTGCCTATCATGCCAGGAAATCCACGTTCTTCCCCAATACGTAGTAATCTTTCCATATCTGCGATGTTTGGACGGCGTAGGTACTGATCACCGAACAGGTTGATGACACCTTCTGTAAACTTTTGGAGTGCCAATCGTGAAGTTGCCTCACTTATACGGACATACTCATCACAAGCGTCTGAAGCACACCCGTAAGCTAGTTGTCTAACGGCCGCAGTGCACTTTTGAAGTGGAGACAAACCAAGACGACCTGCCGCATCTCGCCTTTGTTGAAACCAGGGGTCATGTTGGGTCACTGCGTTGAGAAGGCGCTCAAACACATGTTTACGCATTCGAAACCGGCGCCGGAACAAGGAACTTGGATAAACTGGGACTTCCGCGAAATAGTCATTGTATAACCGTGCATGACCTTCTTCGCGTCCCCTATCCTTTCGGGGCTCAGTAGATTTGCGTCGGCGTTGCTGAGTGGCAGCTTGAATAATTGGTGGAATGTACTCATGCATTACGTGTTGTATCATAAGACACACTTCATTACGTTGTTGAACTCTAAGCTCCCTTCCCTCATCATCCGAGTTAGATGAAGATGAAGAGGAATCGGTTGAGCTTTCGTTTAAACTGTTTGAATTCATTTTGTACGTAAGAAATGTAAGATAGAGTGAGGTTTGCTAATAGTAAATGCAAACGATTTATGTGTTTGTGTGTAAAAAAAGTGAAAGAATGGTGTTTATTTATAGTGAACTAATTTGTAATTCTTCTTCAGAAATAACTGAATATAAAGAGACAAAGATCACATGGGCTATGACAAACAATGAATTACAACCACACAGAAATTGAATGGAGAAGAAGGGTTTCACATGGGCTATGACCAACACTGGATTAGAACCACACAGAAATTGAATGGAGAAGAAGGGTTTCACATGGGCTAACAAAGGGGAAATTAAGATACTGACACAATTATATATAAAGAGACAAATTGATATAATTGAATAAACAGAATAAGATCACATGGGCTATGAAAATGGGAAAGTGGAAAAGATCCATTTTACTGATTAATTGATAAAGTACAAACATAAGGAAATGAGTACAAGAGGTTGAACTGGAATTGAAAACTTATCACTACTGAAAATGAAGAACAACAAAGGAATTGAACACACTTAACTACAATAAAAATAAAGGACACTAAGCATCATTATTGAAACGTTGAATATTGTTCCGAAGTATTACTATCATTTCGTCTTCCCACTGTTCTCGGTTTACTTTCTGTTCTAGACGAGATAGTTGCTCCCAGTTAATCCTATATTGCTCTAGCTCAATTTTCCGTTGTTTCCTTGCCTCCTTGCGCTCCTGTATTTCAAGTCTCTTCATTTCTGCTTCGTTTGACACATTCATCGAATCCCCAAGTAGCTGCAATCGGCTGTTGAATGTTTCTAATTCCTTAAATGCTTGACTTGATGGAGCTTTACCCTTCAATCTCGACTTAGCCTTTTTAATACCTTCAGCACGAGCTACTCTCTCATCACCGACACCCACGCTGGTTGGTGTGGTAGGTGAGGAATTGTCACCCTCATCCCGTGTCCTCTTCCCACTACTTCCGCTCCCTACAGACTCATTCGTCAGTGGAGTTGAATGTGGACGTCCCACCGAAGGCTTGAATGTTTGTTGGTCCAAGAAAGACCGGAATTTGTCCCACTTCCTTAATTGGATCCATTCCTCGTAGAAGGTGAATCGTCCGAATGAGTTCTCATGGATTTTGTGGGCCTCTTGGATAACATCATCTTCGTTATAGCCACTTCCCTTTCGCTTCCGGGCCTTATCATAGCTTCCGCACCACTTTAACACGGCTTCAGAGATTCGCATCCACCTTCCCTTCAAACTACTAATAGTTCGTAGGGATATTTCATCTGCATTCGATTCCCTGGCAGCATCGTATGCGTCCAAGACTCTCTTCCAAAATACACCCTTCTTTTGATTTGTGCCGGTAATTATGTCGGTGCTGGTGTTCATGTAGCCGGATATAAGAGCCGCAGTTTCTGATCGCGACCAACTCTATTGTTTGAACCACTAACACGAAATTCCGGAGTTGATTGGAGTGGTTGCTGTAACATTTGAGTGAAGTTTTGATGGGGAGAAGGAGTTTCATTTCCCTCACCATCATCCTCGCATTCTTCATTTGCCTCATCTTCTTCAGATAAGACATTGCTCGATTCCCAAATATTGGGATTCGGTTGTTGTGACGGAAAATAACCAGATGCAGCACCATATTCACCGTAACCCATTGGTATCATGGATGGATGTGGGAAATTTGAACTGCTTTGAGAAAAATTAAAATTTTGAGAGAAATTTGGTGGATTATTTGGGAAACTTGACTGGGGTATTTGAGGATAAACTCCAGAAAAATTATGGGGAATATTTGTGGGTGTTTGTGAAAAATTTGGGTGAATTGGAGGAAAATTGGCTTGATTCGGGATCATATTTTGACCCAAATTTTTTTTCTTCTTTCTATTTGTTTTGGGGTTGGTATTAGCATCCATAATTATAATTTATATTTGGAAAAAATAAAAATTTAATAATAATAATAATAACAATAATAATAAAAATAAAAATAATAATAACGATAATAATAATAATAATAATAATAACGATAATAATAATAATAACGATAATAATAATAATAACGATAATAATAATAATAATAACGATAATAATAAAATAATAATAATAATAATAATAACGATAATAATAAAAATAATAGTAACGATAATAATAATATTAATGATAATAATTAAAAATAATAATAACAATAATAATATTAATATTGGTATAAATAATAATAATATTGGTAATTATAGAGGGGATTTTTGAAGAGAAAAATATAGTAGAAAAAAATGAATTTTCAAAGTTGAAAAAAGTATATCAATATGGGTGTCTATTTATAGAGGGGGAAAAAATAGAGTCGTTGGTAATTTTTTTTTTTTTTATTTGTATTTTGTAAAATATATCCGTTGTAAAATTACAACGGATATATTTAAAACAGTACACACGTGTCAAGCAGCGGCTGGGCCAAGTGGCGCGCTCCCAGCCGCTGATTTCTATTTTTTTTTTCTGACCTTTAACAGCAAAACGACGTCGTTTAGCAACATGAAACAGCAAAACGACGTCGTTTTGCATGAATATCAGTCCAAAATATTGGTGGGGCCCACAGCGAATTAATTCATGCAAGTGCTTGCTCCTGCAATCGAACCCATGACCACTCAACATGAACAATTAAAGAGTTTGCCATTAAGCCACCACCTTATTTGTTCACTCATTGTGAACTATTAAAATGTTCACCCTTAAAGATGCTCTTAGCACCAAATTTAGTACCCATAATAACCCCACAGTGAACATTGCCACCTTTGAAACAAAGCTGAATTCCATCTTTCTATTATGGGATACCTTTTTTTAACACCTACAAAAACCAAAAATAAATAAATAAATATATAATCAACAGTTAAACTTAATAAATTATCCGATTCATCCAAAACTAATTGTCATATAATGATAGTTCTAATACGTGACAATTAGTTTTGGACAAATGGTGTAAGCTATTACAAGTTTATGACAAAAACAATGGGTACAATGCATAAAAAAAAAAAATAATAATAATAATTGAGTGTATGCCTTTGAGAAATGATGAAATGAATATTGTTTTTGTGAATGTAAATGAATAGCGTAAAGGGGTTTTATATTGATGATGAAGCAAGGATTATGTGGTATGCTAGTTTTGTTTAATTTCTTTATTTCTTTTTTCTACCCTTTTTTGTTAATTTGTTGCTCCCTCATTGGTAGCTTGATTTTATGATTCATTTGTCTTGATTTGTTTCCTTTTTTGTTTGATTTATTTTCTAAGTACTAAACTTTTTAATTAGTGGGTAGATTTCAATTTGATTATGTTAAGGAAACAAATGTAAGAGATATCAAGTTAGATATCAAATTGTCCAACTGTATTTAGTATTTTGGATATCTAGGAAGCATGACATTCTTATTATTTTTAAAATTTGGATGGATTCAATACACATGTTGTATCACCCCAAATAATGTACTCTAGTTAAGATGGCTAACATCCTGTCACTTAAGGCTAAGTTCAGTTTACTTGATCTGATTTTTAAATTTGACGAAACTTTGACCTTATTTGTAAACTAGTTGTACTATTTCTATTCACCTGATTTTTACTTATTTGAACTTATTAGATATTATCTGAACTTATTAAAAATTATTTTAGTTGTAATTTGAACTTGGATAATCCTAATTAAAACTTATTTCTCCTATATTGAACTTAGAATTTATTTGACCTGAATAAGTGAAATTAAGGTGAACACAGTAGACCCTAATTCTTAAGGTATAAACATTATCAAATAATGTGTTATTAACTTATTATCAAGTGAGATGTCATTAAATTCGTATTAATGTGTTCCAAACAAAAAAAAATCATATTTGTTTATTACCAAGTATTTAGATAACACCGTATAATATGTTTTGAGAATATCTTATGGTATATTTGTTAGGATATACATTCATGATATTATTATGTATTTTGGTGATTATCCTAGTTTCCTACTATATCATTCATTCTAGGTTTAGGAATATTGTAAATTTATATATTCTTTGATGAGCTAATGAGAAACACAAGCCAAAGTTTATACAAAATCTTCATGGCATTAAGAGTAGGTTATGAACTTTTTACACAATTATAGAAAGTCTCAGCCAAAGGGGGAAAGACCCTTCGGCATTATCATTCAATTCCTCCAATTTTTCACGGGTTTGATGGGTAATGTTAAATTTTTTGATGATTGTTTGAACAGTAAGTTTGATACTACTTCTTGGATCATTGACACCGCAGCTACACATCACGTTATAGGCTAAAAATCATGGTTATTCAATACTCAAAGTTTTCATTGTCTAGTTGGTTTGCCTAATGGTGAATCGGTATTAGCTAGTTTAGAAGGCTCGGTTCGTTTGTCAGATAAAATTGTGCTAAGTTCTTTATGTTCCCAACTTCATTTGTAATTTTCTTTCTGTCTCTCAGCTTAGTGATACATTAGATACAATTGTCCAATTTAATTCTTCTATGTGTGTTATACATGACCAAACAAAGGAGCTGATTGGACCAGGAATTCGGAAAGCGAACTAAATTATTTTAGCAAACCGGAATTGGTGCAACATGTGTCAGTAGATGAATCAACAACAACCTTGGAGTTATGGCACAGACGAAAGGGGCATCCATCCGTGAAAGTGGTTAGGTTACTTCCTCATGTTAGTAGTACTAAGGGTAGTTTACATTAAGGGTGTGAAGTGTGCATTCGTGCTAGAGACAAATTCCTCTTGAGTGATAATAAGACTTCTAGAATTTTTGAGAAAATACAATATGATATGTGGGGTCCACATCAACATGTTTCATCGTGTGGAGTTCGTATTTTTTAACAATTGTTAATTATTTCTCCCAGGCAGTGTGGATTTATTTGTTGATTGATAAAATCAAAGTGTTTCAAATATTTATGGCTTTTGTTGCTATGTTAGATAGGCAATTCTCTCAATCAATTAAATTTTTGCAAATTGACAATGGTACAGAGTTTAATTGCTTACTCGATTATTTTAAGACAACTGAAATTTTGTTTGAAATTCTTGTGTGGGTACTCCACAACAAAATGGGAGAGTTGAGAGAAAACACAAACATATTTTGAATGTTGGGAGAGCGTTGGGATTTCAGGCTAAATTACTTATTTATTTTTGGGAGGAGTGTGTTCTTGCCGCAGCTCATCTAATAAATTGTACCCGTACACCTTTGCTCTGCTTCCTGTCTTGCTTTAAGCTGTGGTTGGAGAATTCATTCAAGAAAGCTACCTGATGGAGTCACATGGGCTATAAAGAGTATAAAGAACCCTGAGCACACTTGTGGAGGGTTAGATGAAAGGAATCCCCTGGTAACTGTTAAATGGGCTGCAGAAAAGCTACTTGAAGATATAAGGGCAAATAATGACATCTCTGGAAAGACAGACACTGAATGATCTGTTGTTCAGTAGATATGGAGTGCATATGGCAACCAGTACACTTTACAAGGTGAGAGGGGTAGCATTGAAGGAGATAAATGGTGGCCATGACACTTCTTATGGGTATTTGCCAAAGTACTGTGAGATGGTTAAGGAAACCAACCCAGGATCTGCAGCTAACTGTGCATGGAATCAACTTAATCCCCCTGATCCCTCCCTCACATTCTCTAGTATATTCATTTCATTCAAGGCTTCCATTGATGGTGTTGTTGCAGGGTGTAGGAGTTTAGTGGGGGTTGATGGAGCTCACTTGAAAGGACATTTTGGTGGGGTCCTTCTGTCTGATGTGGCTGTAGATGGGAACAATGAGTTATTTCCTTTTGCATGGGCTATTGTCCCCAAGGAAGATAGTGACAGTTGGAAGTATTTTTTCTGGCACCTTAAGCATATTCTGTCAGGTTCTGGGAGGGGGAATGGTTGGTAGGGCTGAGCAAAACTATCTGAAGATCCGAAAATCCGATGATCCGATCCGCATCCGATTCGAAAATTATGGATATCCGATCCGAATTTTGATTCCGGATCGGATATCCGATCCGGATTTTCGGATATCGGATCAGATATCGGATATCCAAATTTTGGATTTCGGATATCCGATATCCGAACATTTTTCAAATATCGGATATCGGATATCTGATCCAAATATCTGAAATTTACTTGTTTTTCCTTTTTTATTTCTCGAATTTTCTAAAAAAAAATATATATGCAAAAAGAAAATTCTTGAACCCTAATTGACCTAATTCCCTAAACACTCCTCTATCTCAAACGCAGTCACGCCTCTCTCTCTCTCTCCTCTATCTCTCTCTGTCTCTCTCTTGACTCTTTAGTCTCTTCTCGTTCTCTGGCTCTCTCCTCTCAAACTCTCAAGGCTCTCAGATTTCACTTCAAAAGTTCAAATCCCTTACATAAATTGAAATTTCTGAATTTCTAGGGTTATTATTTTTTGAAATTGGTCGTTGAAGGCTTGAAGCTCCATTCAACCTCGTGCTCTCCGCCATTGAAGGTCCTTTATTTTTAATTTTTGGTGATTTTTTTGTTTTTCATTTTTAAATCAACAAATATAAATGTCATATTGTTTGAACGGGGTTCGTTTTATTTTTTTGGTTTAATTTTCTGTATATTTTTTGTTGTATGTTGAATTGTTGATGTGGGTTTTGACGTTTTGTTTAACTTCTTGTTTATTTTCTGTTTAATTTCTTGCTAAATTTTCTGTTTATTTTTTTGTTGTAGGTTGAACACTTGAACCTCGTGCTCTCCGCCATTTGAGGTCTTCTGTATTTTACTTTTGGTGAGTTTTTTGTTTTTTGTATTTCACTTGAACACTTGAACATAATGTGGTGTGTTGAACGGGGTTAAATTGGCCGTTTAAATTTCAGTTTAAATTTTCTGTTTTTGTTAAATTGGCCGTTTAATTTTCTGTTTAGTTTTTGTGTTGCTGAACTTAGTAGAGAAACTAGCCTCTCATTCCCCATGTATAGCTGAACTTAGTTTTTGTGTTGCTCCCCTCTGTGAGGTTTATGAACATACTGATGTCCATCTTGCAAGTTTGAAGCATCAACTTTTATTTGTCTACTGTTTGTCTTTTTTGCTCTCTCTTTCTACATTCCCTTACATAGATGGCCTGATGTCATTATTTGCTTGTTTATATATGATAATATGCAACTTGGAGTGGAATTGCAGTCATTTTGTTTTATATTTGATAAATTTTTTATTGATACAAATGTTAATGTTGTGTTGTAGATAATGGATGATCATGATATTACTGCTGAAAGTGCTGCCCCAACTAACCCGTTGATACGACTGTCGCGTGTCTACCAAATATAAACCTAACTAAAACCTCCTAAAATGTAGTAGGGTAAGCTAGGGTCGATCCCACAGAGAATTGGATTATCAAATTATTACTTGTGTAAGTTAGAAACCCCTGTTTTGAAGAAACAATGATATGATCTAATAAATAAACTACTAACTAGATAACAAATAAAGCACGGAGAAGTAAACTAATAAAAATTAAAATACGATAAAATCAAAAATAATAAAATAGGGAATCGGGAGATGTATTATAGCATTGGAGTATCAATTATTGCTCATCGAATTATACGAATTACATTTATATCTTAATGTTAACCAAGGAACACAAACAAGCATTCAGAACTTCCCTTAATTGCATATATACCAAACGAGCTCTCGGAATATTGTCTAAGTAACTAATAATCTAGAACAAGCTCTCTAGACTCGATTAATTAGCCGCATTAATAACAAGGAAGTAGTTAACTTAAGCCACGAGTCTCACAAGCTCGGACTTGTGCAACTCAAAGGGTTGATAATCTTAGGTGTGAGACAAGTTTTAGTCACCAATCACACACCTGATCACTACTAATGGTATTAGCTAGAACAATTACGGATCACAAGCTAAAATTCTAGTCGTCAAACTAACAAATTATACTAAAGATGGCCGGTCTCAAACATAATCAACTAGTTCGTAATTCAAGCGGATTACCAAACCAATTAAGAATATAAACATAATACCCAAGGACTACAACATATCAATTCTCACAATCCAATAATCCAATGCATAATTGATCTCCCTACCCCTCTAATAATTTAGCCTAACATAACAAATATTGAGGTTATCATACTAGAACATATAGAATTCATAGTCAAACTAGTTAACAAAGCAAAATAGAAATAGATACTAGAAATTATATTAAGCAATCAAAGTATAATTCCCAGGAGTAACTGACGCATTCAAGAACAAATTAAGGAAGCACTAACTTTATTATTTCCATTTTCTAAACAAAACTTCTACTGCTAATCCAAAGTAAAAACAAGTAGCTGACAATTGAATGTAAACAAAATATATAAAATACCAAAAGCTTCCAGTAGATGATCAGAGTAACCATGCACAGAACCAAGCCACCTCTGTTCACTCGTCTACCACCTCTGTTCACTGTTGGATGTCGCAACTCTCCGCCGAAATTCAGATTATATTCCCTCAATTTTGCTCCCCAAAATTACGGATCTGATAACACTCAAAAACTTCCCTAACCGAAAGATAAGGAACTAGCCTTTGATTCATCTCCGTTGCTCCGAGTATTTCGCTCCAATAATTATCCAATTTCATCTTTATCATCTTGTTTGACGGTTTGTTCTCCGTGAAAGTCGGTGAAAAACTCTATGCTTTAGAGCAAGGAGAAATGTTCTTGAGCTGCCTCTTTTTTTCACTCAGCTAAGTAGGAAGATATTTTCATTCAAGGCCCAAATGTAAAAGCCTACACAATAAAACAATATTGGGCTTGAAATATTTGAGAGTCAACTGGCTTGTAAATTTTGCTTTTCTTAATCAAAGTGGCGTAGAATGCAATTTGATGCCGATATTTTCTTTCCTGCAAACAAATAAATAAAATAGTAGTAACTCATGTATAGGATAGAAAATTACTTATTATATTCTTAAATTATCAAATGCCAATATAAAATCAAGAGTTTAATATATAAAAATAATATACTTTTATGGTCCTATCACCTGTCAAGTGAGGATCCCTTGGCTTCAAGTGCTGCTGCTGCTGCTGCCGAGCGTGTTAGAGATCAAAATCCACCAATAGTTTCAGCAAAAAGACCTTCAAGTGGGACTAGTGATGATGTAGGAGCTGAAAATAAAGGTAAGAAAAAAAGGTCTTGGCTTTGGGATCATTTTGAGTTGATAAAAAAAGATGGGGATAAAAGATCAAAATGTTTGTATTGTCATGTTGATGTTTGTGGTGACTCTAAAAGTGGTACAAGTGTTATGAAAAATCATCTTACAAGGTGTAAGGATTATCCCCCTAATATTGAGCAATCACAAAGTCTTCTTGCTTTTTCAAACACAAAGTCAACAAAATTTAGTAGATAGTATTGGTGATAATAAAAAATGTGAAAAGAAAGGGAAATTAGAATTTTGGAAGTTTAGGCAGGAGGATGGTATAAAAGCTTTTGCTAAAATGATAATAATGGATGAATTGCCATTTAGGTTTTCTAAGCGTGAGGGTTTTCGCCATTTTATGTCTGTTGTTCAACCAAATTTTATTATTCCCTCTCGTTTCACAGTTGCTAGAGACTGTTATCGTGTGTTTTTGGATGAAAAAAAAAAATCTGAAAAGCTACTTTAGCAAGTGTTCTTCTCGTATTTGTCTCACTACCGATACATGGACCTCTTGTCAAAATTTGTCTTTCATGTGTTTAACAGCCCATTTTATTGATCATAATTAGAATTTGCACAAAAAAAAATTAAATTTTTGTCCAATTAGTGGCCATTCCGGTGAGGCTATTGGTAAATCAGTTGAAAAGTGTTTGCTTGAGTGGGGTATCACCAAGGTAATGACCATTACCGTAGACAATGCAAGTTCAAATGATGTAGGGGTTCAATATTTGAGGACGAGGTTGCAAAGATGGAAAGATGGGACTATTTTAGATGGTAAATTTGTGCATATGCGATGTGCAGCCCACCTTCTTAATTAAACAGTGAGGGAAGGTTTGAAAGAATGTGATGAATCAATAAAAAGGATACGTAATGCTGTGAGATTTGTTAGATCTTCCCCTGCTAGATTGCAAAAGTTTCGAAATTGTGTTAATCAAGAACAAATTCAATCAAAACGTCAACTTTGTTTGGATGTTGAAACTGGGTGGAACTCCACTTATTTGATGTTAGAATATGCTATAGTTTATCGAAAAGCTTTTGATTTTTTGGAAAATTCAGATGGTGGTAAATTTCTTGCTGAACTAACAAAACTTTCTGGTGTTCCTACCGATATTGATTGGGATCATGTTGCTTCTTTGCTTCCCTTTCTTAAGATATTTTATGATGCTACTTTGAGACTTTCTGGATCTTTGTATACTACAACTAATGTGTATTTTCTTGAACTTGTGACAATTTGGAAAATGATTAAAAAATAAGTGTGAAAGTGTTGATAGTGGTGAGATGTTAATGGCCCATGGGATGAAGAAAAAACATGAAAAATATTGAGAAAATGTGGATAACATTAACTTAATGTTGTATGTTGTTGTTGTGCTTGATCCTAGACGCAAAATGCATTATGTGAAGTGGGCTATTAATGATCAATATGACTCTGTGAAGGCTGCAAAATTGTATGATATGGTCATGAATACTTTGACTTTGTTGTATGAACATTATGCTTCTTTACAAAGTCAAAATGTGCCAAATGTTTCTGAAAATATTGATTTGAGTTCAAGAGACTTGGAAACTTGTAATGATTGGCATGATGTGGCTGATTATGAGTTTGAAAGGAATATTGGTGGACAAACGGTTTTTGATAAAAAAAAAAAAAAGTGATTTGGACAAGTACTTAATGGATGATAGAGAGCCTATCACGGGTAAGAATTTTGATGCTTTGGGATGGTGGAAAAAAGGGGTGGAGAGATATCCTATTGTTGGTCTTATGGCTAGAGATGTATTAGCCATTCCGGTTTCTACGGTTGCATCTGAATCTGCCTTTAGCACCGGGAGGAAAGTACTTAATGTGCTTCGTAGTTCTCTTTCTTCACATATGGTTGAAGCTTTGATATGTGCACAAGATTGGATGCGCAGTACACGTGGTCCACTTGTGATTGAAGAAAGTATTGATGATATTCAACAAATTGAAGAGGGTAATACTTTTTTCATATCTATTATTATTTACTTAAGCTGGAATTTACAATATAATTCTGTTTTTTTTCTATTTTATTTTTTGCAATTATTTTTATGTATATAACTATTTATTGTATAACTTGCTATTTTTTTTTAATGTAGAGTTGTCTTCTCTTGTTGATCCTCCCTCGGTTGCCGTTGTCGATGATTATTTTTAGAATTAGAGGTAATACTATTTTATTGGTTTGTATTTTTTTTTTCTTTTGTTATAGTTTCTGCATTTTTTTTTAACAATAACTTTGAGCTTTGACCTATGAATGCTGGATATGAATGTTGTTGAAGTGTTGAGGACTTGATGTTTTGTGACTGTTTTCTGATTTATCCAAGTGCATGACAGCAATTCTCTTTAAACCTAGTACATGACAGCAATATTAATGAATAATGGCATTGAAGTTGTCATATGTTGTATATCAGGCTTCTGCTGTGAATACTTTGGAGTTTGAACCTTTTATTTACTAAAGAATAGTATACTAAAGAAGAAAAACAAGTCATGTATTTGGGTTTTCACTTTTCAGTGAAGTTGGTTGATTAAGTTTCTTTACTTCAAATAGCTGATTCGTGTGTATAATTCTTGAAATCTAAAAAGTATTAGATCTAATTGTCTAATTCTTTATTTGAATGTTCTTGTGTTTTCTAGGTACAGTCACAGGAATCAACTGGTGTGCTTCATGCCTTCATTACCAAACTGGTGGAGCATGGGATCCTTAATTCCTTATGATGTGAATTCTGTTACATTAATTAGTGAATCAACAATCCAGCTTTGGGATTTACGGACTTTGAACATTTCTTTGTTTTGTAATGTGACAATTAGTATGCAAGTTTTCTAAAATTTCCTTATATTGTAATATGTTATAATTAGTTGGACTTTAGGTTTTTTTAGTCACTTTGTGAGTTTGTTCACAGGTTGTTCAAAATTTCAAATCAGTCACTTTGGTTTGTTCAGGTTGTATAATTACTTAAGTTATTCAGGTTATTTAATTTTGGAATTTGTTCAGGTTGTATAATAGCAAAATAACTAAAATATGCATATGAATTTGTCTTTTTAAAAAAGTAATTTTGCCTTTAAGAGATAAATTTAGTATAAAATGATTGATATTAAATTATTAATAAAAAAGAATCGGATACTGGATATCCGATATATCCGATCCAAAAATTTCGGATATCCAAAGCTTTCGGATCGGATATCGGATATCAGATATCCTAAATTTCGGATACGGATATCCGATCCGAAACCCAATTTTGGATCGGATATCCGATCCGTACTCACCTCTAATGGTTGGTGTATTATTTTAGACAGACAAAAAGTAAGTGATCTCTGTCAGTCACACTTTTATTTCTGTAATTGCAAATAACAATGTAACTCAGTGTTTCTAACATTTGGATGCAGGGAATAGATGTGGCACTAAATGAGCTATGGCCTGAAGTGGACAGGAGATATTGCTGCAAACACTTAGCCAAGAATTGGAAAGCAGCATTTCCTGGGCCTTTGATGCATTCACTGTTTTGGTTGGCATGTAGTGCAACATCTCCTTTCACCCTCAAAAAAGCAATGGACAGGATGAAGGTTGTGAATCCAATTGCTTGTGAATGGTTGGCTGCTCTAGGGGAGCAGTCAAGATGGACAAGGCACAAATTTGATCCAAACATTTGCAAGGATGAGAACAAGACCAACTTTGTGGAGAGCTTCAACTCAACTTTAGGTATAGACAGATGCAGGCCTGTCTTAACACTTTTGGAAGGTATCATTCTGTTTTTCCCATCTTCATTAATGGTATTTGACATGGCTCTTTAATGCTAACCAAAGAATACATGAATGCATAGGTATTAGAAGGATGTGCATGGTTAGACTGTCAACAAGAAGACAAAGGTGCAACAAATGGAATGAGGATGAACCATGTCCTAACATAGTAAAGAGAATAAGGAGTTTGACCTTTGAATCCAGAACTTGCAAAGCTTATCAGTCAAGTGAGGGTGAATATGAAGTGAAGGATGGGAATTCTATGCTTCCTGTGTCACTACACAGGAAGACATGTCTTTGTGGGGCATGGAAAATTTCAGGATTGCCTTGCAAACATGCAATCAGAGCAATCTTGGCTGCTGGATTGAACCCATACCATTTCTGCAGCACATGATTCTCAGTCCAAACTTATAAGCAAGCATATGCCAATCCAATACACCCTGTACCAAATTTTGAGCACTGGCCAGAGATTGATATGCCTACAATACTACCACCTGTGATGAAAAGAGCCATTGGTAGGCCATCTAGACAAAGAAAAAGGGCAGCTGATGAACCAAACAAAGGGAAAAGGTCCACAACAGTCCAATGTCAAAAATGTATGTGTTATGGACACACCAAACAAACATGTAAGGGTGGACTTACAGCAGTAGAGCAGAGAAAGGCAACAGCTAAAAAACAGCAAATAAAACTTCTCAATCCTCTAAACACAGTGCACCAAAGAGCACATCCACAGCAAACCCACCAGACCCTCCAAGAAGATTCACAAGAAGCTCATTGCAGTCTCTTTCACAACCACAACCCTCCATTAACACAACTCAGACTTCATATGAAGCTACTCAAGGTCCAAGTAGCCAACCTGTTACCAGGACAAGGAAGGGTAACAAAGGAAAGAACAAAGTCTGATATGTCATGTACCTTGATGGAGTAGGAGCAAGTAGGATGTTTGTTTTTGTATGTCAGTGCAATTGCTTGCAACTTTTGGTTGTTGAACATATGGTTTGTATTTAACTAGAACATCTTCTAGGCCAAGTTATGGTTTTTGAACTTATGGTCTGTATTTAAGTTCTTGTAGGTGAAATTATGGTTTTTGTCAACTTATGGTCTGTAATTTAACTTAAGTTTTATTACTTTATCATATCTCAACTTTGGTTCATTCACAGCACATTTATATATATTAGAAATCAAGTACCATAACTGAGTTTTTATTTATACTTGGTTGAATTACATAACTGCTGTCATAAACCCAGTACAAAATACATCACCACCCCTCATTACATAACTTCATTACGATTCAACCTTAACAATACTCCCCTTTCCCTCATTACCCTGTTTACATCATTTAAGGTAACAAAAAACACAAATTACTAATATGATAATGCCAATCTTCATAACCCTCTTGCAACAAACAAACAGTTCTGAGACCATGTTATGTATTGCGGCAATCTCAGAATTTGGTGAAGCATCGTAAAAGCTCACATCATCTTCTGTGACCCATTCAAAATATCCACAACCTCTGACTTTTTCCCTGCATCTATAGTATGGCTTCTTTGGATTGCTCATGGAATCAGAAAACCTAACCTCAGCGTTTCTAGGGGGGTTGCAATTGCAGTGCTTCATCCTTACCCAATTAAAGCTTCCATCTGTTGCGCCTCTCTTCTTTGAAGAAACTCCACGAAAATTCATGGTGATAACCTATGGAGGCTAGGTTGTGAGATATGGTGGAAGGTTGAAGGGAGAGGAAAGGGTTTGGGATTAAATTCAACAATGTCGAGCAACCAGCCAAACAGTTGAAGGGGAGTCTGTATTTAAGGAAGAAGGAAGGGGGAATTAATTTAATTAGGGGTAGGTTAGTCTTTTCCTGAAATATGGTAAAAAAACCGAACCATTTTGTAAATGGTTAGCCACTTAATGATAATTAGGCCACTATAATCAAATATGCAAAACCACGAGGTCACTACAGAGACTAAAAAAAAAGTTTGTCTTCCATGTGGAATTTTTGAAACCACGAGGCTACCAAATAAAATTTCCCTAAAAATAATTCTTCGGGTTTCACTTTGCTGTAATAATGGGAGCGCTTGAAAAGCAAGCTTCTTTGCTAGGGCAGTGTTCAAACATACTTTTTACTGCCTACCAGTCTATAACAGAGCTAAATATATCCTTAGGTGGGTTCAAAAACTATCAAATAGGTTTATTTTCTTTATTATTGAAGTGTTAGAGCACAAGGTTACATAAAAAATAAAAGTGATTAAAAAAATCCAAGTAAGTGGTTCAATTGAGCCAACTTGCTTTAATGTGACTCCACCAGTAGCGAATTTAGCGCTTACTTTGAAAGGAATCTAAATAAAAAATTTACCACTCTAATAAATCACTCCAAAAATTACTGCCTTATAATTTTGTCCTATTTTAGGATAATCGGAATATACAAGTACTTATCAATCATTGTTTAATTACTTAATAAAAAATATTATATTACTCCATCAACTAATTTTTTTTAATAACTACTACTTTTTTTATAGTGTTTTTAAATTTGTACCCACTAATATTATTAATAGAGTGTAATAGGTTTCCTATATTGCGCACATACAGGCATTGTGTATGTTTCTTAGCTTGTTGTTAATGAAGTAAGCTCATAAAAAATTATTTCAGATTAAATAAGTCCTAGATAAATGATAGAGTATACAAACTGATTAGCTTTTAGTTGAGTTAGTCAACTAACAATGATATCAAGAGCCAGCATGACACAAATGTCACGTGTTCAAATCTCATCCACCTCCACTTTCAAATAAACAGAGCCTAATACTACATGATTATAGGGTATCAATTATAGTGGCTACAATTTTTTGTGTAGCCATTGAAGGAGATAAGTATTGGATGAAATAAGAACTTTTTGTTCCATAATCAATAGTTTTCATACCAATTAAATTTAGGCTTTTCAATAGCTTTTTTTTTTTTTTTTTTTTTTTTGTACAAAAAAAAATTGATTTTGATATAAAAATGTGCTTATTTGGTATTGTGCATTGGCGGGACTGGGCTGGCTAAGATGGGCGATGGCTCAAGGCCCAAATGAAAGGGCCCAGAAATTTGGTGTATACTTTGTATAATTAATTCCCTTTGGTTATTGAAAGTACGTACAAATGGATTAACAATATGTTGCTGATATTCTTGTAATCTGAGTTTGAATCTCACTTGAATTAATATATAATAGTCTTCTACTTTTTAATCCCCTTATAATTTGAGAGCCCAATTTTGAACACTAGAAACTTGAACAGGCTCCCATAATATTCTAGCTTCACCCCTGGTATTGTGCCATGTGGTAGATTTCACAATTATGCGCTGCGAGTTACCCTTAATTTCGCAAATAAATGTATGTACAAGATTAATTCTACATGATTATTAAAGGCTATAATCACATCATTTAGAGTGACTACAAATTTTTTATAGCCATTATATAGTCTTTCTTAATTTCCCAAATAATATGTTGTTTACATTTCTATCTAATTGCTTGTCTCCTCGATGATGTTTACGCTACTACTTCAACTTTCATCCATTTATGACTAACTTCAATTCAAATTTACCTCATACTTGTATGTATTATGCTCTTTCCTACTTTTGAGATAAACAATATATACTTGTAAAACTGTCTCTTGGTTTATTTATTTAGTTCGTCGTCTCTACATATACATTTCATAAAATATACAAGTATATATTATTTTCAACTGTATTTACCTAAAAATTATAAAAATATGATGTATTAAAAATAGATATTAAAAATTTAAAACCAATCTAACAAGCTAGATATCACATAATATATCATCTCTTATAGATTAGTAATAATTTGTGATCAAAATTTATAAATTTTAACTCAAAAAATGCAATGGAGCAACAAATAGAAAAAGAGAAAATTCTGCTTTGTCAAATGCCAATAAAATATTCAAGTACGTTTACATATTCTGCACTTGGTTTTTATTGATATCCAAAGGAACTTATACAGACACTCTGCTAAACTATCCAAAATTTGGGTAGTTTCTTAACAACTCTCATTTTCCTAATAATCTTATTTAATTAAGCACAATTTCACCACTGTCGATCTTGACTTCAATCGATTTTGTCCTCTATGAAATGACAAATCCATATTCCTTATCTAGCTGTACTTTATCATTACTTTAAGACCAAATAAAAACTGCCAAGTACAATGCACTCATTATTATTGTTAAATATGTTGTTAATATTAATAATAATTAGGAGATGCTTTATTCCCATCATTATCTAACGATTTATGAAGCAATAAGTAGATTATATTCTACTTCCTTTGTCTCCAAATATTGTTCGTACTTTACAATTATTGCTTCACATAATTAGTCAAATTAACAACTATATCTTGAAACAAATTGATTACATATCTAAATCTTACGAAGTAATATGTATTAAACATAGATGTCAAAGTTCGGTGATTATTTGACCATCACAAAGGGATGTTAATCATTTAACAATGGTAAAACATACAAAAACAACTTTTTTACCAACTATTTTTAATGCAAAACAAATGATCAAATATATGATACGATAAGATTGTAACAAATTAAACTTATTAAAGTCAACACACTAACTCCCTTTTTTATATGTATTGGAATCACATAGAAAATTAATCAAACAAAACATAATCTCAAATTTTGAACACTAATTATGTAATTAGGCAACCTAATGTCGGTAGTTGATATAAAGCTATCTTTCAAAATTATTAATTAATTAGATGTACGAGTACAAATAATAGTTTTCCTCTATTATGTTTGTGCACGTGCATACACCATAACAAAACGTTAGCAACAAAATCATCATACAATATCTTAATAAAATCCATAATTATTTAATAAAATTGTCCCTCATTAAAACAATAGTACGGAAGCTTCTTACAAATTGACATTAGTTTCCTAACTAGCTGTTCCCAACCTAAACCATTTTAGGAAATTTCATTCAATCTTCCTTAATTTTACAAGTATAAATAGCTTGAGTTAGTAGCTAATTCTATCATCATTATCATACAAATCATTATAATTAGCAATAATAAACTACCAAAAATTCAAACTAAACCAACTCAAAAATCATCTCAAAAATGTTTTCAAGTCTCCCAAACTTCACCGAGCTAAGGGACCTTCACAAACGTGCAAATGACCTCCTTCAATCTTCTCAAGTCCAACAAGCCTTAGGCCAACACCACCAAGAGGCTACGACGACGTCGGTCCGAGAAATCTCCGAGGCATCATTAGAGATGCTAGATCTTAGTGGCATAACAAGGGAAATCCATTCATTAGTTAAAGAACATTTGCAAGAGTTACAACACACGTTACGTCGAGCCAAGTTCGAGGCCGGAGGGTCCGATTTCGAGGCCCAAATGTCGGCTCACGGGCTCTATAGGAAGAAGCTTAACAAAGAGTTGGCTAAATGCTTAAGGACAATCAATGGGAGTAAAAATAAGTATTTTACGTCGGATCTTTCACTAATTGACCAAAATCTTATAGTAGTTGTACATGTTTTAAGGGAGATTAGAAGGGCTACTATTTCTCTAGTAGAATCTTTATTAAATCTCCTTTCATTCCCTACTACTATAAGTATTGTTCATAGCCAAAGATCATTATCATCGTCATTAGCCTCGAAATTTCGACGTGTAAATTGTCAACGGTTGCTGGAACGATGCGATTCGATGGAGATTCGAATGGCGAATAAGAGATTGGAAGAAGTTGAGAAGACAATGGAAGATGTTGAGGTTGAGTTAGAGTGTATTATTAGGAGTTTGATCCATACTAGAGTTTTACTCTTAAACATAGTTAATTATTAGGAATATTATCATATAATATGAAATGAAGTATAAATTATGGGTTCATGTCTATTCTTTGATTCTTTTTTAATTTGTCTCCTTATTAATGTGTGACATTCTTGGACATCCAATCCGATGCTGTACTTCAACTTCGGATATATGAAATAATGACATTCTTATAGCTTATAATTTAGAGGTGTTAATAAATTACTTATTGTTCCTTCTTATATTACTTATCTCTATCCCAGGAAATCTAGCTTATAGTCACGATGATAATGTCCAGCACGTTATTTATGACCCCAATCAAGTAGAAAGTTAAATTATTTTAAACTCGACATGAATTTTTTGATCCCACAAATGTAATTAGTATAAAAAATTATATAATGAATTAATGACCATCTTTCAAATTGAATAAAATAAGATATATAGCTACATACAAATGTTGATTTATAAAAAAAAATAAAAAATATATTATCAAGACTACTATATACGAAGTATATATGGATTCTTTTAGGGTGGTCCTATGTCAACCAATAACACCGATCAACTATGATTATGTTCAGTTTATCTAAAAATAAAAAAATAATCTACCAATAAAGTGTTAGTTTACTTGAAAAGGTTCTAACCAGTTACCTCAAATCCTATAAGTATAGTGTTTGAATCCTACGAAATGAGGGTACTTGGGGGTGATCTCTTACCCTCCCCTCAACTCTCAACTGACTGGCCCGCAAATATTAGATTAAAAAAACCGTAAGCATTGGAGTCTGATCAGGGTCCTCCTTACCAATTAATAAATAAATAATCAGTATCTTAATTTTTAAATTTGGTATGTTTAATCTGAATTATTATGATCACTTATTAGGGGCCGTTTGGTTCGCTGTAATGGGGAAAGGGAATGGGAATGATTCCCTTTGTAAGTGTTTGTTTTGCATATTTTTTCATTCTCATTCTCCATTTTTATTTTTGGGTTTACCCAAAATTGTTCGAAACTCATTCCCCACCCCCCCAGCCTTTTGCATTCCCATTCCCCTTCATTACCCACGCCCCTCTCTCTCTCCTCTCAAGCCTCTCCACTGCTCTGCTTCTTGCCACGGTCGAAGACGTTGCCGCCGTCGGTGTTCACGTCCGAGTGCAGAGTTGCCGCCGCCGGTGTTCACGTCACGACCGTTGGTGAAGCTAAGTCGAACACCGACGCCCCTCTCTCTCTCTCTCTTCTCAAGCTTCTCAAGTGAACCCTAACGAGCTCAAAGTCGTCGCCGTCGTTGGTGAGCCTTCTGACATCAGATCCGTGACCGTCGACCACCCTTTTGCGACCGTCGATCGTCTGCTACAGGGAAGCCCTAATTCCTCTATTTTGTAATGCAGTTTTCGTTTTTTTTCTCTTGAATTTATGTAACTTTGTGGATTTGCCTTGTTTTAAACTGGTAAGGGCGGCGGAGGAGGTTAGTGGGGTGTCGACGATGGCGGAGGCGATGTGATGGAGAGAGAATGAAGAGGAATGTCGCATTTCTTATTTACTTTTGTTAACACGAACAAGATTTTTAATCGTTCATGCACTTGTAATAAGATATTACTCTTTAATTTGTTCATAAATGCCTTCATGGTGATTGAATTTGTTATAGAATTTGCATTCTTGAAATTTTTTTTTGCTATAGCACGAATGAGTTTTTTGTTTTTTTTTTTTGTTGTTGTTGTCTGAATCAAGAATGTTTTGATTCCCTAGTTTGAACCGAACAGCCACAAAGGGAATCAATCAGCATTTCATTCCGTTTCCTGGATACAACCAAACAACCAGGGCAATTCAGGGTTAATCCTTTCCTTTCTCCTTCATTCCCTTTCTGTATTCCATTCCGATTCCCCTATGCGAACCAAACTGTAACACCCCCAATTTACAAGCTAATAATAAACAAGAATAAAAAAAAAAGCAACTTTTGAATAAAATTGCGAAAGCATATACCTAAATCGGAGGTATTACCGCCACACTCAACAATTTGTCAAGTGCTAAGGCTTACAAAATCTCAATAATTACAACCCAATAAACTAGGTGAGCTATTTATAAAACATTACAAACTTGTTATAAAATACTAATCGAAACACTTGAGCTCCTTTAGCTACGATCACTTGATCAACCTGTTTAGACAAACTTGAATGCTCACCATTAAGGACAAATTCCAAAATAGATCGTCGCAGGGCCACCATAAGAAAAAGACATGGCCGCAAACCCAGAAAGCACAACAAAACAACACACACGTCAGCAAAAAGCTGAGTAATCATCACATATCAGAATACAGAGTATAATAGAATAATTAACACTAATAGCTCAATTAAACAATGTAGTTCAAAACTACATTACACATTGTACTCTGGAAATAACCTTTGTCAAACCTAACCTCGAATAATAATACGATCTTTTACTCAATTAACTCTTTGTTCAATACCTAGCCTTGGACATGAGTAATTCGAATAGCAAACCAACAAGTATAAAAACTTGAATACTCTCAATAACCATAAAACACCTTTAACCATGACCAATATGGGTCAAATCCCACTGTAGTGGACCATAAAAAAATATAAATAAAGATTGTACCTCATTCTTAACTCATGATCATTATCTCCTTACCAACATGTCAAGGACTAAGGTGTATAACGCCGAGCCTCAAACCAAGAACAAAATAATAATTCTCAACCTTTTGATCTCATACGTCGATCATATAACCATTCAAAAATTAATGAAATTGTATCTCAATAATGGCACGGGTTTCCAAATAATGTAACACGCCATTTCCAGTTTATAATATATCTCAACTCTTATAGGGCAATAAAACTAGTTCCCAAATATAATTAACTCACAACCTAAAAATAATACTCTGCATTTAATAACCCTAAACCTCAATAAAACAATACTCTTTATAGCAACAATATTAAAAACCCTAGAAATAATTGTACAATCAATTATATACAACAAAAATAATACGATATTCAAATCAAATCAAATCATACAATATCATAATAATTAATCATATATACAAACAGTACAAGCAATAAATCATATCACACATAATAATACGAAATGTAGAACAAATATCTCCAAAGTTTCGTGTGATTACATATAATAAATAATACAATCAAATTATTATCAAACAGCTCCAAAAGATTGATAGTGTGATTACTAGATAATAGATCATAAACATACAATTCAAAAAAATTAAATTTGTGTGATTACGAGACAATAAATTATAAACATACAACTCCAAGATTAATAAGTTCATGTGATTTCATATAATAAACAATACAATCAAATTATAATCAAAGAACACCAAAAGATTGATAGTGTGATTACCTTTCAAGAAAATACTATCAACTACGATATTCGAAGAAGAAATGGATGAGCAACGTCGCAAATCGCAGCCTTCATTAACAAACTTATCGTGGGATCTCTTTACAAATCAATAAATAAGATAATGGAGATTGGAGAATGATGAAAAAAAACAACTTTTAACAAAATCAATTCTTTTTTGGTTTGGCTAATGAATCCCACGCACAAAAGTACGAAACAGTGGTTCCCTTTATTTATTTATTTTTAAAAGCAATTGATAACTATGTTAGGGTTTAAGATAATTTTTATAGGATAACAAAAATAGAGTATAAAAATTCATAAAATAATTTAAAATATCATATTTTAGCTATAAAATATATTGGATAAAATCTTAAAATATTCGGGTATTACACAAACGGCCCCTTAATTTAATGAGTGGATTTTTGGCGTATTTATATGTTAACATTAACATGTAAGAACATTATTAAGTGAGATTTGAATTTCTTCTTAACATAGGCATATTTGGTAGCTCGTATTTTGGAGTATGGACATGAATATCTAAAGCATTACTTGAATGAAATATGGTGTAAGTTGTGGTTTAATTTATTTTTTTTTAATTTTTTACTGAATCTGTGAAATAAAGCTTGCATATGGATAGAAAACATGTATATATATATATATATATATATATATATATATATATATATATATATATATATTTTGAAATCACAATAATTTTGCTTCAATTATATATGCCCCAAATGAACTTTTATGTCCATTAAAATATGGAATTTTGCTATATTCATTTGTTCCTTACACAATTATTGTGATAGAGTATAAAACATATTCCTGGCCTCAATCATCAGCTTAAACTATTGGTTGAGATAATCCTCTAACGTGGTATTGGAGCTCGCGTAACACAAAGGTTACAGGTTCGAATCTCATACACCCCTCACTTTTAAAATGGGGCTTTTGTGTGAGGGGAAGTGATAGAGTATAAACATATTTATGGGCTTTAACCATCAGCTAAAGATTTTAATTGAGTTGATCCTTTAACACATTGAAACACACCCATTTTCATCAACATAATTTTTACACCTTTGGTGATCACTATTAATTTACAAGACTCATCCAAAAACAAGAGTGTACAATAAATAGATGTCATGTTACACCAAAAAAGTTTTGGCCGAAAAAATATGTTGATTCGAATGAACAATACAAGAGGGGGGGAAATTGTATTGTAAAGGAACTAGGGTGATTTTTTGCGGAATTTATAAAAACAAAGCTTAAAGGAACTTAAAGCGCAAAGAGAGATTTTACGTGGAAAACTTCTTGGCCCTAATCAAGAAGAAAAACCACGACCACAAGGGAATTTTAAAACTCAACTCTTAATTATAATTGGGCAAACAACCTATTAGAAACTTGAGTTCCTCAACGAACTTGAGTTCCCCTATTAATTGATCCCTCAACCAGTTGATCTCTCAAACTCTCTTTCTCCTTGCTTCACTCAAAGCAACCCACACTTAGAGTTGATCACTCAAACTCTTACCCAATATAGCACAAGATTAACTCTGATACTTAGCACAAAGACACTTAAGAACTCAAGTGGATTTCAACTCTTTCAAAATAGGACAGAATGTAATGCTCAAGTGTGTATTTTTCAACTGAAAACTCAACCTATTTATAGAAGGGTTAGGTAGTTGCT